GCACACACACACACACATATATACATCAGTGTGGAGACCAAGCTGAAGAGAAGGTTGAAAGCAAAATTAAATAATTTGAATTGTATGCACTTTATCACATTGAAATATACGCCTATCAAAGCAATTTTCAGTGATTGCTAACTAAGTGTTGTAGGTAAGCACAGAAGCAGCTCTACCCACAGTAAGATCCCAAAAATATCTAGATTGACACAATCCTCTGACATAGCCATAGAGGTTTGATATATCCAGACCAATAATAATAATAATCCTTGCATTTGATATAGCGCTTTTCACGTCGGGAGGACGTCCCAAAGCGCTTCACAGAAGAGAGCAACCCAGAGGGAGCCAGTGGGGAGTGGTGGGGAGGGGAAAGCTACAGCAAGGTCAAGGAGCCCAATCCAGTCAATCCCTCCGTATCAGTCAGTCAGAAGCTTCAACAAGGGGTCCAAAATTACTAGAAGATAGTCCCATTTTAACTCTATGTTTCTGAAAGACTCGGAGTTACCCAGTTCCCATAGAACAGCAAGTTCCTGGTTAGAAAATCCCACTGCTGAAGTCGACTCCATTGTGGCTGCTGCAGTAGTTATTGTAATTTTGTTATCAGAAAGGATATAAATCCCTATTGCAGATAAATACTGAAGGTACTGTGTGTTCCTACAATATGCAGCACCTTTAGCTTCTTACACTGTTACGATTATGCTAAAGGTTTTATAATGGAATTAATATTCCATTCCACTGCTGCCATAAACATTAAATAAGCTATTGAACAGGTCTCTACTGAACAGCTAATGCTGTGCAATTGTATTCAAAGCTCCATAATGGTGAATAACGACACATTTTAATGCACTAGACACCACTGTAAAAACATTTTTTATCACCGTGGCTTTGAGGATTCAGTTCAATGCTTAAAAGGAATTTTGCAATTTTCTTGAGAACACATTGTATTTAACATCATACATATTTGAAGTGTATTTTGCATTGTCGTGAACCTCGGCAATTTTTGTTAATATACTCAGTCTATAACCTACCTCTTGTCTTGCAAAAAACTGATTAACTGTTGGCTGAAGATGATTTTTTAATAAATATGTGAAGCTGAGCTCTAAATAGTGACAAAACACTGACCCCTGGTGGCCATGTTGTGGAGTACAAGGGGACCAAACAAAATATTGTCAAGCAAATGAACAAATGAAAAAAATAATTTTTGCCCCTATAACACCTATTAATTTAATGATATTTCAATTAACTATATGTATTATAAGCTCACTGGCAAATTAGTCATGAAATATTATTCACACTGTCTATTATTTATGACTAATCAGATAAAAACATCAGATTCTGTCACCGTTCTCATGATGATTAAAGCCAATTTACTTTGGTTACTGGTGTTTCTTAATGGATTGTGAACACTTACTGACATACCATAAAAGAAGACAAATATTGCTTTGGCCAACAGTAATGCAGTAAAGGATGAAGTGTTTGCCTTTTATAGCCTTTTAAGGGCTCCGGAACGTCACCCTGCATGAACGGCACTATAGAAATGCAAGTTATTGTTGTTGTTTGTAGTCTTAATGGAAAGCGTGAAAACTGAAGAATCAAGTGGTTTCATTCGTATGGTTGGATAAAATGAGGAGCCTCGGACGCCCCCCTAGTTAGAGAGGGGAAACGGCAGCCAGGAATCCATGGGTACCATTCAGAAACCCTTGAACAGTACAAATTTACAGCACAGCAGAAAGCCATTCAGCCTATTGCATCTGTGCTGGTTCTTTTAAAGAGTCATCCTTTCCATCCAATTGAGATACCCTTTCCCCATATCCTCTATTGGAAGGTGTAGGTATGGAAGTCGGGTGAACTTAGGATCTGGCTCAGCTGTGAGGACCCTATCCCTGTCTCTCCACTGAAGTTAGCTTTATTCATGCATGAGGCTTGGCAGCTCTCGCTCTCTAAAATTGATGCCAGAAACCAAAACATAGATGGAGTGACTACAGTACTTGCTTAATAGATTATTGGGAGTAGATAACTCAATAAAACCCAATGTTGCTGCACATTTTGTTAATGCACATTAATGAATCATTGCCCACACTGAGCAGCCAACATTGTCAGTAGCAAGGGACGTAGTATGCAGCCAGCAAACAACTCTATCAATTTTAGATGCCTAATGTTAGCAATCAACAAAGCTGACTGCTGAATGTCCCCTTCAGCTCTTTTCTGTCATTAGAAATCCTAGCAGTTGCTGAAGGGCAGTAAACAGAGCTCTCTATATGCATATCACGATGTATAGAATCATAAAATATTATAGCACAGAAGAAGGCCATTCAGCCCATCGTGCCTGTGCCGGCTCTTTGAAGAGCGATCCAAAAAGTCCCACTTCCCCATATCCTTGCAATTTTTTTCATTTTTCCTTTACGAGTACTTATCTAATTCCCTTTTGAAAGTTGTTACTGAATCTGATTCCACCAGCCTTTCATGCCGCAACAAAAAAATTACCTTCATCTCCCCTGTACTGTATTTACTGAGGCCTTGTTCTCCCCTCTCCCTCACCTACTCAAGAGCAATGAGAGAAGGGTAATACTGGGGTAAACTAATTTTACTGACGAGCAAATGGAATCTTCTAGATTTTAAATGCATTCTTTTGTCCTATCATACAGTTTCCTAGAACTCCAAATAACACTTCCACAGTGATCTCTGCTGTCATGGCAGAAAGGTCACTGTAATCTGCGGGAAATCTGCAACACTGCAAGAGACGTTCAGGTAAAAATCTTGGCTGAAGTTCAATAGCCTGGAGTGTTGAGCTAAATGTGGTAGATTTACTACCAGGCCTTGTAGGTCACTGATTTGACGCACCAGAACTAAGTCCAGGTCGCAAGTGCGAGAAATTTAATTTGGGCTGCAAACTAGTTACAGAAAAATTAAAAGCTTTCAATGGTTGTCGAGGTCAAATAACAGTGATCTTCACAAAGCATATGAGCATCTGAAGGCACCTATAGATATTGCATCTAGAAAAGGAGATATTTGGGGAGAGGGGGAGGAGAAAGGAATAGGTCACAAAATGAATCCTTAGAGACAGATTTGCAACTCCAACTAAACATGTTTTGCACCAAATCAAAGCAGCTCAAATGTCAGAATGTCACAATCTTTCCAAAGCTACTGTTCCAGTCCACCACAAAACTCCAAATCCAGAGCAGAGCATTTTCTGGGTATAAAAAAATTCTATTTGTCATTAAAGGAACAGTCTACAGTCCCTTCTATTCAAGAGCACATCAGAGGAGGAAACTTGTGGCACAAATGCATTTTTTTTTAGACCGTTGACCTGTCTGCGTGTAAGACAGAATTCAAAAGATATCCAGGTTTTACAGATCCAATAACAACAAACAAATTACATTTACACAGCGCCTTTCACATCGGGAGGACATCCGCCTGATTCGATGAAAGGTTTGCACCCGAGCTGGGGTGGGAATCAAGAGGGGTGGAAGATAAGGGGAGTAGAGGTGGGAGGATGACCGAAGGCACAGACTTGAGACTGGCCTTTGAAGGCGGCAAGAACACGAGATCTTAGATTATTTTATAAAATTCTGTTCTGTAAAACAGAGAGCAAGTGTAGAAAGGAAATCCATGCACAACATTTTCTACATTTCATTTGCATTTGTAAAACTCCCTGCCAAATACACAGTGGGGGAAGAGAGAGTAAATGTGAATATACCACATCTGGCTAACAGTCCGATTCTTCAAACAGATTTCCTGAACCTCTCAAACAACAAAAATCCTCCAGAATAGGACATTATCATGAGTGAGAAGATCCGCTGCAGTAGCCAGGACTGACTTGAAATATGGAATGTATCAGAGATTGGGGGTTCAAGCCCTCATCGGGATTTTGGTCTAGGATCAATGGTTTGGTGGAACGCTGCATCCTCGCCGGTTTAGCCCATCATTCGCAGGATGCCACCTCCGACACTGCAGCATCTGTCCAGACGGACATTAAAGATTCCATGACACTATTTGAAAAGAGAAGGGAGTTTCCCAAAGCCCCCACGCGTCCCACCGCCCCCAAGAAATTGGCCGCCCACCTTATGGATGGCTGTGAGACATTGCTGTGCACAAACTAACACATTCATCTCCAAATACATTGTCACTTCACTTTATAGAAACGTTATGTACAAAGAGGTTTTGTGAGTTACAGGTGCAACGTCAATTGTGACCTACAAGGTATTAAATCTACCAGATTTAGCTCGACACTCCAGGCTATTGAACTTCAGCTAAGACTTCTACCTGAACGTCTCCCGCACAGTTACACATTTCCCGTAGATTAAAGTGGCATTTCTACCATTACAGCAGAGATCACAGTGGAAGTGTTATTTGGAGTTCTAGGAAACTGTATGATTAGGACAAAAGAATGCATTTGAAATCTAGAAGGTTCCATTTGTTTCCTCAAAAAAACGCTAACCAAGTTACACCACCAAAGTGAAGAACCAAAATAGAATACAACCATAACAATTTTCATTTATACAGCATCCTTCACCCAGTTCCCTTCTCGGAGGGCTGAAATACTGCACTTCTCAATCTCATAAGAACATAAGAATTAGGAGCAGGAGTACATTCGGCCACTCGAGCCTGCCCCGCCATTCAATATGATCATGGCTGATCTTCTGACCTAACTCTAATTACCTGCCCTATCCCCATATCTCACAAGCTCTTTAAAAACAATGTTAGTTTATGGACTAACCCCACACCCATACACCACCACCTCAAGAGTAAAGAAGAGAAGAGATGTCCCATTAGAACAAGCAGTCCACAAAATTTATCAACTTGCCAATATAGATATCTGGAATCCTCACCGCCATCACTAACTCTGCACATCTAACATTAAGCAGGATCTGAATAAGTTTATTTTCCATATTGTGTACCACCCTTTAGATCGAGGCAAAGAGGTCCTTTGGAATCTTTCCGCTTTACAAAACACGATGAGAATCAACCCCTCTCGCTCTCTCACACACACACAGACACACCTCCCGTAGATGTACAGATATGTGTCCCAGCTGCTCCTTGTGGTGCTCTGCTAAGTTTCGTTCTATCCTCATTCCCTTTTCAATTTCTTGTAGACGTCGTTCTACTCTTGTTGAAGCCTTTGCACAAAAACAGATAAGAGCGTGTTAAGTGAAGAGTCTAGTAGTTTACAGTTTTTCTTATATCTTTCCGTTGGAAGGCATTCATGTGTGTTTCTGTGTGTGTGTGCGTGTGTGTAAGTGGGGGGGTGGAGGGGATTGTCAAGCTAGGACAAGATTGGCTTTGATTATAATTAAGACTTAAGTCAGACATAACTGATAGTAATATAGAGATGCAAAACTTTACGGGGTCAAAATTCCATAAGCCAAACATTGACAGAGTTAATGTCGGATGCGGGAGAGGATTATGCCAAATCACTTGCATTCAATTATTTCAAGGGAGGCACACAACTTCTCTGGAAACAAACAACAACAAATTACACTTGTATAGCGCCTTTCACGTCGGGAGGATGTCCCAAGGCGCTGACAGCTGGTGCAATCTAATAACATATGTCGCAAAGCTTATGCAAGATCAAAAATTCCTAACATTAAGCAGCACTGTCAACAAAGCACATGTGTACACAGCTCTCTCTAACCCTGGGTAGTCTTCCAGTCCTGCAGTTTCTCCCCAAGAGGACTTCAGTGAAGTTTGGCAAAATAGGGACAGGGCTGAGAGATTTTAAATACTGGCACAAATGAACTTTCTTTTGCTCGTCTAGTAAAAACTGTCTAAGTCCCATTTTTACTTGATCTTTAACAATTTCACGAGAATTGAGACTGGCCATGCAATTGGACAGACTGACACTGACAGCAATTTAACACTCAGAGGCGAAGGTGCTATTTTTCTTGGTCAGACACATGAGGAAACACCCAACTGAGCCAGACTGACACCCGCAGTTCCAAAGTGTGAACAAATGTCAACTCCAACTACTGTGGGAGGACTGACTGGGGTTTAGGAAAAATAGGCTCTCCACTTTTTCCTAATATCTAACAGTTGAACAGACTGTGTCAAAATTGACATTTTAAAAGCTCGAATCGAAGAATACACTGATGAACAATTAGATAAGCTGGGCTTTTCAGACTCAAAAATAGATGTCTCAGACTTGACCCAACAGAGGAATAGAAGATAAAAAACAGGAAAAATTATATTCCAAGGAAGCAGGACAAGAGGGCCTTGGTTCAAGCGCGCAAAGAGAACCCTTAGAACTCCCATCACAGTCTCTTCACCTCGCCCCCTCTCTTGCCTCCTTCAAGGCCCCTCTCAAAATCCTCCTCTTCGACTGCGCCTTCGGTCCCTCCTTCCCCTACCTTCCCTGCCCTCCACCCTTCCTGATCCCAATACCCACCTCAGGTGCAAATCCTTGATTGTCCAGCGCTTTGGGATGTCCTCCCAATGAGAAAGGCACTATATACAAGTAATTTGTTCCTGTGGTTTAGGTCCAAAAAGCCTTTATTTTGACATTGCGGTAAACAGATAGAATTGATTACCAGCAAGGTAACCCATTTAAGAAACAGCTCAATGCTGTAACGGGATAAGAATAGAACTGGGGTATTCTGGAAGATAAGATCAAATGGGCCAAAGGGACCCTCTAAGGTGACCTTGCAAACAGAGTGTACAGGAGTTTCTATTCTGCCAACTGTATTTGATTTGAAGTAAATAAGACCACTTGATGTAGTTTTAATTCAGTCTTACATGATCAAATCCACTCAATTCAAATTGATTTCTTCTCTTCATCACATTTTCCAACAGCAATGAAGCAAAGCCAAGACAATTTATATTAAAATGAACGGAGCTTCTCAGACTCTATCAAAGAGATTCTCTCATAATAATATATCAACAGAAGCGGCATGAATGTGGAAGCAGACATTCACCTCCGCCAAGCCTCTGTAAAACCTCCCTGCTACTGCTTTCCTGATATCATCAAAATTGTGATGAAGAATATATAATAATAAGCCCTGGATTTGAACTAGCACCTGTAGGATCATAAGATCTCAAACTACTTCACAGGTTTTTGCTGACAAGTCTGCATATTTGCAGTCAAGTAAGCTCCTCAACAAAGCCATGAAGAGACTGGGCAATTGATCTGGACGAGTGTTGGGAGGATTCCAGGAGAAACTCCCTTCTATTTTCAGATAGTGTCCTGGGATCTTTAACGTCCCCCTTAATAGACAGGCAGGGTTTTGTTTTAATGCATCATCTGAAAGTCAGTATTTCCAACAATCTTGCAAATTGTGAGTTTATATCACATGTGGGTCTTGAAGCCACAACCTTCAGGACCAGGAGCAAGATCCCTGGCAACTAAGCCAACCCTGATTGGCCTCAATTGTCAATTCCCTGGACTCTACCAAATAAACTGAGTTCGCTATTTTATCTGTCTCTAGAACTGATATGGCCACAGCACAATGACTTGGCTAAATCAATGTGAAAGGACATGGACTAATACTAAAAATAAAACTATCTATTTGTTACTCTTTTATAATGTGATTTATCAATCAGCACATCATGGAGATATAACATCGGACACATTGTCTTGAGCGATTTTGTTATAAGACTGTGCCAACAGTTAGGAAAGGTCACTGAAGTTTATATGGCTAAAGCAAAGCTATTTTCTATGTAAAATAAATCACCTGCAGCTTCTGCCATTTTCGTTTACTAGTTATCAACAACAAATTATACAACGTTCACGGATTAAATCAATTTGAATAACTCACCATTTCGTGTCTGGGCACTTCCCTCAGCCTCTCTGATAAATGATTCAAAGTTTTTCTTGTTTCTGCATCAGTCCTGTCGATGGAAATGAATTTACATTTAATCTGCATGTCTGCAATCCGCAAGCAATCCTTTTAGTCTGTAAGACCGTTTTGTCTTAGAATTACGATCCTGCGGAACTGTGGAGAATTCTTAAAATTTAGTCTTGATTTTGAAGCTAATTTTCCACAGTTCTTAAAAAAGAACTTCGAATCTAAGCCAAAGCCGAATTCGAGAATTTTTACATAATTCTGCGCGACCTTAAATAATAAAATTGTCTCATGGCCTAAGATTAGGTAGGAATTTCAGGCCACTGATCAGCAATAATCAGAATATATAGCAGCCTTTCAAAACTCACACAACCAAGAGTTAGATTTCTTGAGTGAAAAACTGGTTGCACTGGTAGAAAGGCCTGGATCCACTGAAATAAGGTGACCTGAGGGGAGAACTTTGCCGAGGGCAAGACACAGAGCAAGAGACTGCTACCAGTACTACACCACAGGCTAAATATTAAAATAGAGTTTAGTGACTAACTGTGATCGTTGAAAGTGTTTTTTGTTTGATTTTTTAAAAAAAGAAGCGTTTTGAATAATTCAGTCCAAAAGTAGCATCATCTACTCTGACTCAACATTTGTAAAAGGAAAACACTAAACCATGGCAAATTCTGGGAAAGTTGGGGTCAATTTGGTTTACACAGAGGTTCGAGGATGGGACTAGTCCAGCACCAGTTCCAACAATAAAGATGCAGATTGTAGTTCATAATACAACAACTTGCATTTATATAGCGCCCCTCATGCAGGGTAGTGTCCCAGAACACTCGATGGCGGCAGAGCCCGAGAGGGAGGAGGTGACCATAAGCACGGTCGCAGAGGAAGGTCTTCAGGCACGATCTGAAGATGGGAAAGGAAGGGGCCACGCAGAGGGATAGAGGAAGGGCATTCCAGAGCGTAGTAGCTGAAAGCACGGCCACCATGGTGTACCAGAGGGCACGATACAGTTAGCATGGAAGCCTTGTCCCCAAGGCTGGTAGAACACAAGAAGTCGGTTTCAAAAATATAATTTTCTTCCCAGGATCAAATGGCACAATAGGGCAGTATACTGTCTCATCTCTGCCGATTGTCACATTGCAATGGTACATGATCCTTTCTCTTCTGGAAGGATTTTAATGCAACTCTAAATTGACTTGGCAATTCTCTATGTGAACTGAGTTCTGGCTGCCACTGCACAACTCCTTGATGGCACCAGCATTTAGCACTAAAATTACTTCAATTTGGGAATGTCGTTCATAAGAGTACTGGAAATGTGAAGAAAAGCAAGCTGGTTCCGTCCAGTGAGTTTTGATGGCTTCACTGCATTCATAGTAGAAGTAGAAGTAAAATATATCCTGTATATGATTTTGTTGAAACAGTTTGAAAAAGTTTTTTTTTGCCACACCAGGAGTTAAAGAATTCGCAGGGCAATTTCACTTTCGTTCAAAAAGAAAATAACTGGGAGAATGACCCACATTAATAAATCAAAATAATGCTTCCATTTGATATAACACTTTTAACGTCAAAACATCACAAAACTCTTTAAAGGTAATTGCTGTCAGGTCTAGTAACTGTGTAGACAATCATAAAGCATCATCATAATAATCCATGAATTTGATATAGTGCTCACATTGTTGAGACGTCTCAAAGTGCTTCATAGAATATACTTTGAAGTGAATTGACTGTATTTTTGGGGCGAAAAGTGGCAGCCAATTGGGCACTGAAGTCTGAAGCACTCAGGGACCCTACCCTTCATGAAGGGTGCTTTAAATGCAAATTGTTGCTGTCCCACAAAAAGTCATGGATTGAGTGACCAAAATATTATTAACTATTTTTTATTTTGTTTTTTATTTTTATTTTGAAGGTATTATTACCATTGCAGACAATTTACACTCAGCAAGTCCTATAAACATCAATGAGGTGAATAACCAATTGATCTGGAGGATAATAAAGGCAAAGTACACTAGAAGTAGTTTCATAAAATTTGAACTGATCAATAAGAATACATGCACATTACTACCTCTGTCTCCAAGACGCATGCTACATAGCTAACGTGATGGCTAAAAAAATTTTTTTCCAACTCGATATACGTACTTAACACGCTGTTCGATTTCCTGTTCCAGATTATCTCCGAGTCTTAGTTGATCACTGCTGAGGTCTCTTAATGACTGATGCACTATGTGAATCTGTGAATCACAAATTCAGTTTAATCAATGTGATAAAATTGACCATAAGAATTAAGGATTAGCTACTGGTTTTTTGTAACTCACTTTTTAAAGTAAATTACAGTATTGAGATGCTGAAAGATCCAGGTACTTTCTGGGCATCCTTTTGACAACAAGGGAAATGATGTTTAGAAAATAAAAATGAACAAGAGATAGCATTGTTCTTGGTTTGATTGAAAGGTTACAATGATAGAAAGATTCTTAATTATGAGAGTGGTTGATTTTCCTATTTTGTACTCACACTTTAAGACTCACAAAAACACGTCTGAGTACAATGATCCATTGTTGTCCTCTTAACAATAATACAATACTAAATTACATCGGAAGGAGTCACAAGGCGCTTCACAGAATATACTGTAAGGTGAATTGACTGTGTATTTTCTGGGCAAAACTCAGCAGACAGTTGGGCGCAGTGGTGTCCGACAAACATTCTTGGCTTGAGTGACCGGATTATCATTATTTATTTATTTAATTTGGGGGGGAGGAGGGGGGGATCGTTAACCCTAGAAAGCGATCTGATAATTGACTAATAACCTGGTTCCTACTTGTTGCTAGGTAAACTGAAGCATAAGGAAACTTGCCTAAGGTTTCATCATGCCAACAAATTGAACCTGGGTCCTCTCACTTGCTAGGCTAGTGCTCTAACCAATACGATCAGTATTTCTTCCCCTCAATGACCACAGTCAGTTTTCCCCACCCTAACCTAAGCCTTCCTGCTGAGGTGACCCTGGCTGGATCTCTACAATGGTTATGGAACAAATCAGCAACATCTCCAAGCCAGCTACCTGGTTGCCTTCCTTTCTCCCTCTGCTTTCCAATTTGCCTATTTCCCTAGTCTTCTGAGATATTTTAAAAACTGTTTATACTTGTATAAGGATGGTAATTCTTCACTTAATTTTTTTTAAAAGAGCAATGTTAGAAAAATGTTGTCATTGCTGGAAGAAAACTCAATTCACAAATAGGTTTCACAAGTTCTATTGTGAGAAAGTGACAATTTAAAAAAAATTATAGCACATGTAATTTAGCCTCGCAGATCAAGTTATACCCTAGAGTCTGTAATCAGTCCCCAGAGACTGACAATATACTTGTTCCGAAGTACATAGAGAACTGTCAGTTTCCCTGACAATGGGTTGGATCCAGTGTGTAATCCTAATTCCTGTGGGTTATGTGCCAGGAGGTAAACTGGACATCTTCCAGGAGTAAAGGCTGCTTAGGCCACTCATGATGATAATAATAATAATAATCCTTACATGTCAGAAGGACGTCCCAAAGCACTTCACTTTACTGTGAAGCAGTGGCTGTGTATATGTGGGCAAACGTGGCAGCCAATTTGCACACTGCAGTGTCGACAAACAGAATAGAGTGAGTGACCAATTCTTTTTTTTATTTGGGAGATTGGTTGGCCAGGACACCAGGAGAAACTCTTTTCCAATAGCGCCACAGGACCTATAGCGTCCACCTAAATGGGCAGATGGGACCTCGATTCAACGTCTCATTCGAAGGACAGCACCTCCAACAAGGCTTTACGACCCCAGCCCTGTACTGGAGCATCAGTTTAGACTACGTGATCCCATGTCCCGACGTGGGGGCTTGAACCCACAACCTTCTGACTCAGAGGGTACTACCACTGAGCCAGGGTGACTCACTTCACCTTTTACTGCTCCATTTCACCAAAAAGAGGCGAGTCAAGACCTTGCTGTCAAGATTGCAGAAGAGCAATGGGACATGGTATTTCCCGGCCCTTTAGCTTGAAATTGTGAAAAATTCTTCAATCCAGGACACTATTTGGACACCAGTACTTTTTTCGGGGAAACTTAAGACTTGATTTGTGAATATCAGGTGGAATTTTAGGCCCCTGAATCTATGAAACAAATATTCCATGTTACTATTATTTCCAGTTCCGTTCACCTTTCTACAAAGCTTCTGACAACACTAACCATGTCAAAAACTAATAAAATTGAAGTGCTACTTTAAGAAATCCCAAAGCCCATAAAATTATATATCCCTTCTTGGTGAGGAGATGCTATTAGTGATAAAAGCATCATTGGAGAAAGCCTGAGCGAGTAATTGGACATGGACTCTAAATATAATGTGCAGCTGATTACACATCGGAGAGTAAAAGCAGCACACAATTTAAATCCCTAAAACAACAGTGTGTTATTGGATCCTAATTCCCTCACTAATCTATTGTTTAAAAATGAGCATGCTCCAGTTATTTTGGTCATGCAAAACATTAGGCTTCGCTCTGCGTTCTCTAGGGTAAGGGAGAGAGGGAGTTGACAGAGTCAAGTTAATCAGCACCATCACTCCACTATCTCACCCCATTTCTACCAACAACACACAGCCATCAAGTGTCCCGGAACTTCTGGAGCAATTGATTTCAGCAAAATGCCAGACATTGGCCTAATAATAATTTTTAAAGTAAGCTTGTAAAGTCAAAAAGCTATTCTAGTACCTGAGATATCAAAATCTCAGCCCAGGGGTTTTGTTTTAACTAGAGGGAGTACATTTAAGATTTTTTAAAAAAAACGCAGAGGAAAATAATGCCAGACCAAAAACAGAACAAACATTCTGAACAAAAATTCTCTTATGGATTGAGGCAGAATCCATAATAGTACTAAAAAGGAAGTAGACAAAATATAAACTGAGATTTCCACGCATCCCAAGTACACATGGAATTCCCAGAGATTGTTGGAATGGAATGAACACTCTCTCTCTCCCTGGAGGGACACATCCTGCTTACCTAATTCCGGAAAGTATTAGGTGCAGGTTAGCAAGACCCAAGGCTTGGGGGAGCCCAGAGTGTGCGTTTGAGAAACTGCTGGAGTCTAACCAGCTAAAACCACATAGCTTGTCGTTGATAATTGTATGTGGAAAAATTGTATATGGAAAAGGAAGGGAAGAGGACTAAACAGAGAGCAACTTCAGAGAGCCAACAGGCACAATAGGTCAACTGGTCTTCAGGCTGAAGCAATCTAGGATTCTAAGTACTGAGCTTTAAGAGACAGATCTCAGACATGCACTGATACCCCAGCTCACTTCACAGGAACAGGCAGTAATGACATACTTAACCTTTACGATTCTACAGTACTAAACTGCAGCCAAGGATAATGAACTGAATATCCTGGCATAACTTAGGACTGTGGGTATTGATTTCTGAACATTTTCTTTTTAAACAGAGAAAATGGTTATCACACAGTTCACTGCTTTAAGCGATTTGAGTGCCAATTATCTATTCAATAGGTCTTTTTACTGTAATTTTACTTACGTTATTTGAAGGCTTTGGCTGATCGATAAATCTCACGGAAGATCTGTACTTTCTATCACGAATATTCAAGTGAGCCGCATGGTCCTTTGGATGTGAGGTAGAACTGCACTGACCTTCTGAAAGGGTAACACATTCAAGAGTTCACCTTGCTCTTCAAAATCAACCGGTCAGAAAAACAACAACAACTTGGATTTATATAGCACCTTTCACACAGGGCAATGTCTCAGGGTGCTTAACAGCGGCAGAGCCTGATGCCGAACTGGGGGAGGGAGCATGGTCAAAGAGGAAGGCTTTCAGCCGTGATCTAAAAAAGCTGGAGGGATTGGGGGAGAGAGTTCCAAAGCTTCAGAGCCTGGAAGCTGAAAGCACGGCAGCTGATGGTGGAGCGGAGGGGACTTGAATTTATATATCTAGAATAATTGTCTTGAAGCATTTTAGAAATGAAATGAATGTCACATAGAGAAGAGTGGCAGGTAATCTGCACAAGCAGTGTCCTATAAGCAACATGGAGTTCAACAGCCAGTTACAGTAATCTAAATTTGGAGTAAATTTAGATGCAATACAATACAAAATTACATTGTACAGTGCCTTTCACGTCAGGAGAACGTCCCAAGGCATTGGAGGTAACAATAATAATAATCCTTGCATTTGATATAGCGCCATATCACGTCTTCAAGATGTCTCAAAGCGCTTCACAGGATACACTGTAAAGTGAACTGACTGTATATTTTATAGGCGAAAAGGTTGAGGATTTATGGTGAGGATTGGGTATATCCTCAACATAAATCCTCAACCTTTTCTCTCCCAACAAACGATCAAATTAATTCTTCAGCCTATTAATTGTAGTTCATTAATTAATTGATGGATAGATTATTGGATTAACTGATTTTTTGAATTAATTTTTCCTCTCCCCTCAGCTCCCATCTCCAGCCCAGCCAGTACTGTTAAGCACTTCAGGGCCTCCTCTGGATGTGAAACACAATATAAATACAACAACTTTCATTTATATAGCGCCCTTCATGCAGGGCAACTTCCCGGAGCGCTTGACAGTGGCTGAGTACTGACTCCAAGCCGGGGGTGAGGGTGGGAAGAGGTGACCTTAAGCACGATCGAAAAGGAATATCTTTAGGCGGAACTTGAAAGTGGGAAGTGAGGGGGCAAGGCAGAGGGATTGAGTTCCCTAAATTAGTATGGTATATTGTACTGTTCCACCAATCTTCTCTAACTTTTTAATTTCCTCTTCCCAACACTCTCCATCCCCCGGTGTAACCATATCCCTTATCTCAAGAAGCTGCAGGCTCCTCAGAATCCTAGAACTTTAAATGCTGTCTATTTTTTCTTCAAAAGATATTTATTTCAATGTTGTCCACAGTAAATCCAAAGTGGACGCATTGAACACAATTCCTAAAATGCTTTTAAGATGACCTTGTAATTGTGTCATATACCTGTAGGGGAGTCGCTCTGTAGGTCACTTGTTTGAAGTGTTGAGTGAGAGCTTCTGTGCAGTCGCTGGTTTCTCAGCTGGTCCACAGACTGTTCCAGATTATCTCGTAGCTTTTATCCCCCAAAATCAAAACAGACCAAATGTTCAGTTACAATTGGGGAGGACAAGTTTGCAGGGCTATGGGGAGAGAGCGGGGGAGTGGGATTGATTTGAATAGCTCTTTTCAAAGAGCCGGAACAGACACAATGAGCCAAATGGCCCCTTCTGTGCAATATAATTCTATGATTCTATGAATATTTGGTTCTTTCTTCCAGCGCTCAGCTAAAGCAAATCAACAAATGCAACAATGCCAAACTTGTGACAATTATATTGGTCTTTATAATTAAAAAAAACTTGCATTTGATTACAACAACAACAAATTACATTTGTATAGCGCCTTTCATGTCAGGAGGAATTCCCGAAGTGCTTTACATGCATTTTGAGTCAACAAAAGATTATTTCATAAATTTATATCAGGCTCAGATTTGTCACATTGAAGCAAAGCGCCTCTCAGATAATTGCTGCCACATGGAATGACTGTGTAACTTGGCAAACACAACAGTCAATACTCATACAAGATCCAACAAACCGCCATGACGTGAATGAACAATATATATGTAGAAGTGGAAACACCCTTCTATCTGTGAATAGTTTTGTGGGGTCTTTAGTGTTCACCTGAACAGATAAACATCACTGCATGTGCACTTCAAAATAAAGCATTTGTGTGAATTCCTTGGGGAAATTTTGATGTGATAAGGATCTACATTAAAGACAAATCTAGTAATAGTAATGTTCTGAAAAGTGAGTGTGAAAGAACAGCAACACATCATGTCAGCTCCTAATGTGAGCAGGAGAGGAATAAGTGAAGACAAAGTGTTATATATTAGAGCATCTTTCTTCTCCATCTCGCCCGCCAATACTCACAGCTGTTCCACTTCATTCATCAGAAGCTTTCAGTCATTCATGTTTCTGCATGTTAAAAATCATGTTTCTATTACAGCTCTAGCAGTCCTTGAAGCTAAAAAGGACTGTGAAAATCTACTTTAGGTTAGATGATAATAAATCATTTCATAAACTGATCTCAAGTGCTAGGATGGATTTATTTCTGGCGCAAAAGAGCTAACCATGTTATTGAATTGTAATTTTTTTATGAAGTGTTCTTCAGTGGCAACAAGCACCGACAGGAGTACCTACCTTTGACACCGCCTTCATTTGTTCACTCGTCAAGTCTCTATAATCCCCCAGCATCTGATCAACATTGCGGAGGTTCTGACTTGTGTCCTAAAATCAATCATATTTCAGGTGTCAGGTATTCTAAACTTGAACAGAAATAAACTTGCCTCCAAGACTTGCACGTGCCACTTTACTAGGAGTAAATGATGCATTTCTACACAAAAAGTAAGAAAATATTATCCTTTCAACAAAATAAAGTGAATTATTTGCATAAGAACAGGAGTCTACTCAGCGTTTTGAGCTTGTCTGGCAGTTTCTTAGAACATGGCAGATCTTTTCATTTCATTTTCCCACTTTTTCTCCACACCCCTTAAATATCCTCAATTCCCAAGTATCTATAAACATCCCAATTCATTCTGCCTCTATGGCCTTCTGGGGCAGGGCATTCCACAACATTTATCTGCCAGAATATGGGACAGATCATTTTTTTTTGATGCAGGATGATACACGCATTAGTCATATAATAGCTATTTTATAAAGAACGAGTGTTTTTATGATAGAGCGTTCAATGTAGCGCAAAGGGATTATATAAAGCTGTGGCAAGGGTGGTAAAATATACGATTCCCACTCTGTTCACATCATAGACTTTGTGCTTGCCATATTAAGATCATTTTAACATATGGAATCCTGTAGCTGAGTGGTTAGAGCACTCGCCTCGCAATCGAGAGACCTACGATTCCCGGCAGAGCGAAATGCACACCTCTGTTTACCTAGCAGTATGTAGGAACCCGGTTGTTAGTTGATTGATGGATTGCTTTTCTGGGAAAATAATGCCCTCAAAAACAAAATTGATTACTTCAATCCACGACTGTTTGTGGGACGCTGCTGTGCACAATTGGCTGCTATGTTTCGCCCATAAAATACACAGTCAATTCACTATACAGTATATTCTGTGAAGCGCTGTGAAACATCTTGAAGATGTGATAAAGTGCTATATCAAATCCAAGGATTATTATTATTATCAGAAATTTTGGGCTTGCCATGTTAAGATCATCGTTCAGAAAGTTCACAATCATTGTTACTCAGTGATCAGGGTGCCCTGTTTAACTCCTGGGCATCCATTAAAGGGTTAATTCTATAATAATAATCCTGGCATTTGTTATAGCATCACTATCACACAAAACATCTCGAAGAGCTTCTAGTTTTCTGTGAATTTTGAATGACTATTTGTAAGCAAACACAGCAGCCTATTTGTGCATAGCAATGTCCCACAAACAACCAGCAGGTGATTGTCCAATTGAACAAGAGGAATGTTGAGCAGGACACCAGGATCGATCGCCTGAGAAAGCAAACAGGACTATCCATTGGACGGCACTTCCGACAATGTAGCACTCCCCCAATACTGCACTGGAGTATCAACTTAGACCTTGAGTTCCAAGGGCTTGACAGAGATGAAAGTGCTACCGACTCAAACCAGGTTGATACTCCGGTCCACTAACTAGGATTTTTATCAAGGAACACAAATTACAACTATTAATTTGGCAAATATTTCAGTGTCTTTCCATTTCGCAGCAGTTAATTTTCTCCTCTGCAACAGCAGTGTAGAGGTCCATTTGCCATCATGGGAGGCGGATATTCAAGTAGGTGCTTTTATGGAGCCTTGAAATCGCCGTACGTAGTATAGTTCTCTGTCGGTGCAGTCAGAAATAGTTCCTTGTGATTTAAAAAGCCAGATGCCCCTTTCTTTCTCCTAACTGAATGTACTGTGTTTCATCTAATAGCTTCCGTGTTACTCAATAAATGTGTTTTATATAACAGCAGCATCGGACTGCAGGCAATGCAGTGATATTTATTATACCTGTAAAGTGCTTGCTAATGTGTTAATTTTTTCAGTGAAACATACTCCACTCTGTGTCTTGTGCCTTCCCTGTGCCCCCACCACTGACGTCACCTTCGGTGATCTTCGCCGGCTTGAGTATTTCCGACGGATAGAATCGGAATCACTCGACAAGTCTGCCATAATACTGCAAGTAAAAAAACAGAAATTAGGAAGCGTGAAAAGTAAGCCAAAAATAGATACCTTCTGACAACATCCACATTCCCAGTTTCACTTCAGTCAATTTTCTTTTATACACAAAATAAAAGCTTTACCCTCAGTTCTTTGAGCAGCTGCAAAGGAAAGAAAAAATGAATAAAGATCAGTTTTTCCCAACGAGATTNAAAAAACAAATACAGTGTACTAACTCTCATAACTTTAACTTGGATTATCAGTTTTTCAACTTCATTTAGCAGTGAAATCAGCCCTTGGGACGTCCTTCCGACGTGAAAGGCGCAATACAATGTAGTTTTGTATTGTATTGTAAATCAGGAAGCATTTTTTCGCCAAAGGATAATAATAATAATAATAATCCTTGCATTTGATATAGCGCTTTTCACATCAGGAGGACGTCCCAAAGCGCTTCACAGAACACACTGTAAAGTGAATTGACTGTATATTTGTGGGCGAACGCGGCAGCCAATTGCGCACAGCAATGTCCCACAAACAGTCATAGATTGAAAATGACTAATTTTATTATTGTTTTGGTTTTGGAGGGATTATTATTAGGCTCTGTGTGGAGTAAGGAAACTTGCCCAAGGTTTCGCCCTCTGCCTGGAATTGAACTCAGGTCTCTCACTTGCAAAGCGAGTGCTCTAACCACTGAGCTACAGGACTCCAGGATAGTGGAAATCTGGACCTCTCGTCCCCTAAAAGCTATGGATGCTGGATCCATTCAAATTTTTTTCAAGACTGAGGTGGATTGATGTTTGTTATGTAAGGGTATCTATCAAGTGATATGGAGCAAAGGCGGGTAATTGGAGTTGAAGTACAGATCAGCCATGATCCAACAGAATGGCGGAACACGCTCGAGGGGCTGAATGAGAGATAAATCTGTGCCTTTATCTTCCATTGTTTTTCATGGGTTTCTTTGTAGTCACCTGAATAGGCAAACATGATCTTAGTTTAATGTCTCATCCAACAATGCAACGCTGCTGCCACATTGTACGGTAGTGTCAGCCTCCACTCAAAGTTCTCAATGTGAGACTTGAACCTGCAACTTTCTGATTCAGAAGCAAGAATGCCAACAACTGAGGCAAGCTGACAGGTTTCAAGGCTGTAACCTTATCTCCACAATCAATTGACAACTGTGAACAGTACAACATCAGAATCCTGACAATTCTATAGCTCCATAAATACTCAGTTTGTATTCCACAATTCAATGCTGTATCGACTATTTCAGCAGCACATGCACACACTCACTCAAATAAATTGTTTGATCATCCTCCTATCCAACACCTAAACAGTATTACAAGCAAAAACATCCCAAAATTAATGTGATGTTTTCAAACACCTGATATTAGTAATGCTGCACTTGAAACCTGCTGCGTAACATTTAAGCAAGTGAAAACAGCTCTTATTCTCATTCAACATTCAAACCTTTGCATCGCCAAGTACTTACATTAAATGTATGACTCATTCCCAATAATAACCCTTTAGATAAAATTAAGAATTTCACACAATATCTCCACTATGGCAGAGACCAGCCACAACCAGAGAGATGAGAGTCAAGTTTAGTTGTTAGTACTGTATAAAAGTACTCAAATATTGTAATAAACCAGATTTAGACACAACAACAGATGATAGCAAAGCAGTGTCTTTCCTGAGGCAATGTGAATTACAACACAAGGAATCTGCAAGCCTTTGGATCAATGCCTCCCGAGACTAAGCAGAAGCACTCTTTGACAAATATCTTTTTAAGTGGCATAAGTTAAGACAAGTCACATGCAAACATCCGAGACCCAAGCACACAACAACAACAAGATTACATTTGTATAGCGCCTTTCATGTCGGGAGGACGTCCCAAGACGCTGGACAGTGTACCCGAGCTGGGGTCAGGGGGAAAGAAGGGAGGGGAAGGGGGTGACCAATTCCATGGTCAAAGAGGAGACTTTTGAGGCGGGACTTGAATGAGGCTAAGGAGGGGGTGAGGCGGAGTGATTGGGGGATGAAGTTCCAGAGGTTGGGGGCAGAGTGGCTGAAGGCTCTCCCGCCAATGGTGGGGCGGGTGGGTCGGGGGATGTGGAGCAGCCAGAGCCGGCTGAGCAGAGGGAGCGGGCGGGTTGGTAGGGGGTTAGGAGGTCACAGATGTAGGGTGGGGCGAGGCCACGGAGAGCTTTGTAGGTGAGGACCAGGATCTCGAACTGGATCCTCTGAAGGATAGGGAGCCAATGGAGTCGGCCAAGAATGGGGGAGATGGGGTCACGGAGTTTGGTGCGGGAGAGGACACGGGCTGCAGAGTTCTGTATTATCTGCAGTCTGTGGAGGGAGGAGTTGGGAAGGCCGACAAGCAGGGAGTTTGCATAGTCGAGCCTGGAGATGATGAAGGCGTGAACAAGAGTTTCAGCGCCTGAGGGGTGAGGTAGTGGCGGAGTCGGGAGATGTTACAGAGGTGAGGGAAGGCAGAGCGGGTCATGGCTTGGATGTAGGGAAGAAATGACAGTTGAGGGTCGAATAAGATACCGAGGTTCCTGACTGGTTTGGTAAGTTGAAGTGTGCAACCCTGGAGGTTGATGCTGCCAGAGCCTGAGGTGCGGAGGTGCTGGCGCGAGCCAATCAGGAGGGCCTCAGTTTTGTTCACATTCAACTGTAGGAAGCTTTCCCTCATCCAGGACTTGACGTCCGACAGTCAGTCTGTCAGGACAGCAGTGTCCTGGAGTCGAGGCTGGAGGCAGAAAGATAGAGTTGGGTGTCATCCGCATACATATGAAATTTGACCCCATGTCTGCGGATAATGTCACCAAAGGGGGAGCATATAGATATTAAAGAGGAGAGGGCCAAGAACATAGCCCTGGGTGACGCCAGACATGACAGTGCAGGGGCTGGAGGAGAAATCTTTAGAGGCAACAAATTGGAGATAGTGACACAGATAGGAATCGAACCAGGCAAGGGCAGGTCCGCGAAGATTAAGTAAGGAGGAGAGGCGGTCCTCCTGACGTGAAAGACGCTCTATGAATGTATTTTTGTCGTGTTGTTGTTGTTGTATGAGGATGGAATGGTCGACAGTGTCGAAGGCGGCAGAGAGGTCGAGGAGGACAAGGAGGCAGAGGAAGCCCTGATCACAGATATTCAGAATGTCATTAGTCACTTTGACCAGGGCTGTTTCCGTGCTGTGGGCAGCAGATCGGAGGGGTTCAAAGAGGGAATGGCGGGAGAGAAAGGAGCGGAGCTGGGACGCAACGACTCGTTCCAGAACCTTGGAGAGGTTAGTGATGGGGCAGTAGCTGGAAAAAAGGGATGGGTCCAGGGAAGATTTTTTTCAGGATGGGGGTGATGACAGCTATTTTTAGGGGGATTGGAAGTAAACTGGTTGACAAGGAGAGGTTGATGACGTAGGACAGGAGAGGGGCCAGAAGGTGGAGCTGGAGCTGAGGAGAGAGGTGGGGATGGGATCGAGAGACCAGGTGGTGAGTTTGAGTTTGCAAACAATCGCGGAGAGGGAGGAGGAAGAGATAGGATCGAAGGAGCATAGGGGGGATGGGTGGGGGGTGAGTCATGAGGGAGAGGTGATGTGGGTGGCTGTGGACGGGGCAGAGGTGGCTGAACGTATCCCCTCGATTTTGGTTTTGAGGAAATCCAGCATCTCCTCACAGTTGGGAGTTTGAGGAGAGGATGGGTGTGGCGTGGCAAAGTGGATGGAGGAGACGGTTAGTGGTAGAAAAGAGAAGCCTGGGGTTGTCCTTTGCCTCCAAGATAACCTTGGAGTAGAAAGAGGATTTGGCGGAGGCAAGAGCACAGCCGTAGATCTTGGAGTGGTGAAGCCAGATGTGCCGATGGACCGTTAGTTTGGATTTGGTCCAGGCACGTTCAGCAGCTCGCACTTGTGCCTTGAGGGAAAAGAGATGGCGTGTACCAGGGGGATTTACGTGAGTATGGGGCGGTTCGAGAGGTGAGGGGGGCAAGGGAGTCCAGAATGGAGGAGAGGGAGTTGTGGAGAAAAGAGAGTGAGGAGGGGAGATTGGTCAGAGAAGGCCAGAGGTGAAGGAGTTCAGATGACTCCAGGACAGTAGAGAGGGAGAGGGAGGAATTTTTTTTTTCTACGAACAGTATGTGATGGTGGAGGTTTGAGAAAGGGGAAGGGGTACGGAGGTGTTGAGGGAGATGAAGCGGTGGCCCGAGATGGCTTTATCGATGTTGGTGATATCCGAGACGGTGAGGCCCCGGGTGATCACCAGGTCAAGGGGGTGGCCACGGATGTGGGTGGGGGAGTGGATGAGGAGGGAGAGGTTGAGGGAAGAGAGGAGAGAGGAGGGAGGAGAAGTCGGCAGAGGTAGAGCAGGAGTGAGTGGAGCGGAGGTTGAAATCGTCTAGGATTAGGAAGCGTTCAGAGCAGAAGGAGAGGGAAGATAGGAGGGCGGAGATGTCCAAGAGGAAGGTGGGGGAAAGCTTGAGGGGACGGTAGACAAGGAGGATTTTGAGGGAAACCCTCAAACAGTTCATGGGAGACCCAAGCACACAGCATAAAACAACTATGACCATCAGTATCATAAGAAATGTTGCATCTTTCTTTATCTTCTGTATTCACAAAAGTGCCAACGAATGTCCGAGGCAGTTGTGCAAAATTGAATTTATCATATTGGTGTCATCGTTTACAGTCCAAACTTCATGCTGTCATTCTAGGGCAACACTGAGGTAACAGTCCAATGCATTGCCAGAATTGCCATCTTTGGGATGCAGCATGTGCAAAACCCTCCAAAACTCCCTCCCTAAATCCCTCACTCGTCATTGCTGTCTTTAAAAGCCTCCTATAAGACCCCTTCTTCAACTGTGTCCAGCAACCTTCCTTCTCCCCATCCTCCATGCTCAGTTTCTCTATGAAGAACTTCAAGAAATTCCCCTATATTGATGAATTTTGCTGTTATCAGTAAATAACTCATACATAAGTGAGCAGCTCCAAACTCTGCATGTTAACATTAATGAACTAATAACCCAGCTTGGTGACATCATCCGTAGGCATCGGGTCAATCTCCAAGAATAGACGGGTGACATTCAACTCTATCTTCCTGCCTCCACTCTCGACTCTAGGACCAGTACTGTTCTGTCAGACGTCAAATACTGAATGAGCGAAACGTTGGCAAACCAAAGTTATCTGTTTGGCTCCTGCGAATACCTCCTCACCTCAGGCACCAATTATATCAACCTCCCCGGTTGCAGAATCCATACCAAATCTCGGCATTTTGTTTGACCCTCAGTTCTACTTCCAAGTCTTTCAACTGGTTACTGACCAAGTCCATTTGCTTCCACCTCTGCAATATTACCCACCTCAGCTGCTGCCTGAACCCCAATGCAGCTGAAGCCCTCACCCTTTTGTCATCTCCAGACTCAACTTTCCAAACACGTCACTCCACCCTCCACAGCCAGCATCTGCTTATGCACAAGTCTGGTCTGCTTCATAAGCACCCCACCCTGCTAAGGAGCTTTCAGCCACTTTTATTCCCCAGCCATCTGGATTCCTTTCCCTAAGTCCCTCTGCCTCCATATGAGGTGCACTTACCTACCTCATTCTCTTAAACACCTTCACACTTGCATATATCACATTCCAATCTGTCTCTCTGAGCGCGAATTGCCTTAGGAACTGAGCAGCTCCACACCCAACACGTTAACATGAATGAATTGATAAGTGAAACAGTGCATCCCAATGTCAGGATTTTGAGCTCACACAGTCTAACGACAAATTATATTTATATAGCACCTTTCACATGAGCAGGACGTCCCAAGGGCCTGATTAGCTAGTGGTAGCCAATCTTTTTGGTGGGACAACCAAATATATTTTTAATTATTGAACTTTTCATTTTTGAATTTTTCTTCATTAATGGCCGTGCCATGGTATTGCTGCTTGATAGCTACTGGAAACAAAGCTTGACTTGACTTGTCGCGGACTTGCCTGGACTGGTGTTCAGCGGGCCACTTCTTGACACTCCAAGAAATCGATCATGATCGACTGGTTGGAGACCCCTGGTTTAGGCTGACTCTCCAGTTCAGTGTATGTGTGTTCATGTGTGTGTGTTGGGCGAGGGGATAGAATGGCTGCATTGTTCAGCACTGCACTACTGCAGATGTGGTGTATTTGGATTTCTAGAAGGCATTCGACAAGGTGCCACATAAAAGGCTGTTGCATAAGATTAGAGCACATGGAATTAAAGGTAATATTTTAGCACGGATTGGAGAGTGGCTAACAGGAAGAAAACAGAGAGTAGGGATAAACGGGTCCTTCTCAGATTGGCAGAATGTGACTAGTGGAGTGCCTCAAGAATCAGTGCTTAGGCCTCAATTATTTACAGTCTATATCAATGATTTAGATGAGGAATAGAACCTAATATATCTAAATTCGCAGACGACATGAAGCTAGGTAGGAGAGTAAGCTGTGAGGATGACACAAAGAAGAATGCAAAGGGAAATAGGCAGACTAGGTGAGCGGGCAAAAGTGGCAGATGGAGTATAACGTGGGGAAGTGTGAAGTTATTCACCTAGGGTAGTAAAAATAGAAAAGCTGCTTATTTTCTAGAGGGGGAGAAACTAGGTAGTGTTAGTAGTTCGAACTGAGTTGAGGAAACACTTCTTCACTCAGAGGGTAGTGAATTTGTGGAATTCTCTTCCCCCAGAATTCCTTGAACATTCCTAGACTGAGGTTGATAGATTTCTAAAGGATAGAGGGATTAAGGGATATGGGGATAGGGCAGGTAAATGGAATTAGGTTAGAAGATCAGCCACAATCTTATTAAATGGTGGGCCAGGCTCGAGGGGCTGAATGGCCTACTCCTGCTCGTATGTCTTATGGAGGCACCATTCTTTTGCCCGATACATGAGATCGAGCTCCCTCATCTTTGCCCTGTTCGCGCAGATGTTAAAGATCCTGCAAAAAGTTTCTCCCTCCCGTGACCTGGCCGACAATCCCCCCCCCCTCAGATAAAAACGGAGTATCACTCCACAGTCATTTGTGGGGACCTGGCTGGGCGCAAATTGGCTGCCGCGTTTGCTCACAAAATACACATCGTCACACGTACTTCTCAAGAGTATCCAACTAATCAAATCTAACTTATCAACTACATCACAACTCCGTCGTCCGTATACTCAGCACTCTAAACTCTATTCCTATCACACCAGTCCTTGCCAGTCTGGATTTAACTTCAAGATCCTCACACTCATCTACAAATCCCTTCATGCCCCTGGCACCTCCCTACTTCTCCGACCTGCCTTACTCCCTGGCTCCAGCCTCCCGCTTGTTAACCTCGTCCCCTTTCCGCTCTGCCCTCACCGTCAGCCGCCGGCCGCGCCCCAAAGCATTGGACCTCTCGGCCCTCAATCAGCCCCCTGTTCAGATCCCGGGTGAAGATCTTCCCGGTTCAACCGTGAGTACGGTCACCGCCTCCTCCCAGCTCGGGGTCAGGCTCCGGGACTACTCCGGGACTACTCCGCGTTCTGGGCGGGGGGGGGGGGGGTGACGCTTCTTGTTGTTTGTGGCCTGTGAAGCGCTTTGAGACATCTCAACAACATGATAAGACGCGATATCACATGCAAGGTCTGGTAGTAGTGACAGGAGATACCTTCCCTGACTGACTGACTGACTGGACAAGAAGATAACTCTCTCTCTCTCTCTCACTGATTGCATTATAAAAGGTTTTGTATATTTTTTTAAAAGTTATCGTTTCTTGTCAACATCTCTGCCCTCTCGGGGTGTCTGCGCCGTTACCTGTCGATTCCTGTTAAACTTTTCCCTCTCCTAAACGAGCCGAGCCGCCGGAGCCGGTCGGTCGGTCGACAGCCGCGGCCGCCATCAACAGCCAACAAACTCCCCGCTCTCGCTTCCCGCCTGCACTCCGCGTCTATGGCAACCGTCGCGCCGCCCCCTGGGACTTGTAGTCTCTTCCCTCCCTCCCGGATGTGGGCGGCCAGGAAACTCCGCGCCCCGCGCCGACTGCATCTGCCCCAACGGGCCCAGCGCCGCCGACTCCATCTCCCAGCAGGCGCCGCGCTCGCCAACCGCCGTCCTGGTTCACGCGCGCTCTCCCGCCCCCCTTCACTCCTCCCATCAGCCACCGCGCTCACCAACCGCCGTCCTGACACTCGCTCGCGCTCCCCCCTCCTCCTCCGCCACGGCCGTCGCGCGGATTCCTGGGAGCTGTAGTTCCTCTCGTCCGCTGCTCGCTCAGCAGCAGAGCTGGCGCGACTACGACTCCCAGGGTGCAGCGCACGGTGCCGTGCTGGCTTGGCGCCACTCTGACCGCCCGCCTCTCTGCCTGACTGCCCGCCCCGCCCGCCCCGCCTCAGCCGTACCCGCCCCCAGAGCCCGGGAAACAGTACCAATGACGATAGTAATCCCTGCGATTTGATGCGGCGCCTCATCACGTCGCCGAGAACGTCTCGAAGCGCTTCGTCGGACGCGCTGTTGAAGCGGCGCGACTGTATTTTCTGCCGCCGACAACGACAGCAGCGACGACTTGCGTTTACATGGCTCCCCTCACGACGACGACGACAGCTTACATTTTTGCGTCGCGCCCTTCACGCCGGGGCAGCGCCTCGGAGCGCTTAGGGTTAGGGTTGGTTTTACCTGGCGGATTGATGGCCCGGACCCGGGGAGAGAGCAGCCCCCCTTCTCTTTTCGAAGAGCGCCGCGGGACTGTGAACGTCCGCCTGTACGGGCAGACGGGCTCTCGACGTCTCACCCGAAGGACAGCAGCTCCCGACAACGAAACGGCCAACAACAAATTGCATTTATATAGCACCGACCCCCCTCACGGAGGGTAGTGAACCAGAACGCTTAAACGACACCGAGAGGGGGGGGGGGGGGTCACGGTCAACAGGAAGGACTTCAGGCGCAATCTGAACATGGGGGAAAGGAAGGGGCAAAGGCAATACCCCCCCCCCCCCCCAGCAGTGCATTGGACTGTATTTATTTATACCGTACCTTTCATGTGGTGGTGGGGAGAGAGAGAGGGTCAGTGGAGTCTCCTTGGAGTTCAGCTGAGCTCCGCGGTGATGTGCTCAGCCATGGAATTGGGAGAAATCGAATCCACCCTCTGTGGTTCTCTCTCTCTCTCCCTCTCTAATCCACTTCTCGAGCCATTAGGGTTCGTAGTCCTCCAGAGCACTGCTGCTGACAGACCGACCAACCTCGCCCATCGAAAAAGGACGTGGACGGGCAGAACAGTCACCTGGACCATGGATTCTTCCCACTCGGCTCTTGTTAACCCAGCAAGCCAAAGCCCGAAACAGTTAGGCTGGACATATCTGGACAGGCAGAGGGGAAGTCCTGTAGCATAGTCATTAGAGCAGTCGCCTTGCAAGCGAAAGGATCTGGGATCGGTTCCTGGAGAGGGCAAAAAGTTTCCACAAGCCTCTGTTAACTTAGTAGTAAGTAGGAACCCGATTCGTGGACCACTTAATAATCCCTAGAAAAATTATAATAATTTGGTCACTTAATCCTCGACTGTTTGTGGGACACTGCTGTGCGCAATTGGCTGCCGCGTTTCATCCACAAAATATGCAGTCAATTCACTTTGCAGTATATCCTGTGAAGCGCCTTAGAACCTCGAAGATGTGATAATGCGTTACGTCAAATGCAATGATTATTAATCTTGCGATCAGAGCTCTCAGTGGTTTTTAGCTGGTTAGACTCCAGCGTTTACCCTGACGTACACTCTGCACGCGTCCCCCAAGTCTTGGCTTTTGCTAACTTGCGCCTAATATTCTTGAATCAGGTGAGCGGGGGGCGCAACCCTCCAGGGAGAAGAGAATACGCATTCCAATCCAAACACACAGAACTTTCAATGCATAGGTGACATATATACGTGGAACTCTCAGTCTGGTGCATAGACTCGTAAGCACAATGATGGGTTTCTGCAAGTGTCAGACCCCGGCAGATCACAGACTTACAAAGCAAAAAGAGAGGTGACATTTGGGATTGAGATTTGTGAATTCTAATTGTAGAACCTCATTTTCTAACAACAATATTTCCCATCCACTTTGGAGTCACCGCAATCACGGTGGAGTTTGCTTCAGGCACACTGCTAATTGTTCCTTTGCTATCAAATGTAGACTTCAAACAATTATGTGGATAAGTCAAAGCAACCGACATCTAGAGACAACCTAAATTTAGTGTGTGTTGAAGTGCTCTAATGCAGGAAATGTGTCATACTGAGAATTAACCTAAATCACACACCCATTTCAAGACATTTTCAGCATCGGTTTCAGCCTCCGGAAATATGTTTCATGAAATTATGATTCATTTGGGAGTAAATATGGAACTATATTTAGCATGTTAGTCACAATATACAGATGGATTATAAATATATAATATACACAGTGTTAGCTTGGCTCATTTGACTGCACTCTTAACTCTAAGTTTCCTTAGAGTTTCCTCCCTTTCCTCCTTCAAGGCCGGTCTCAAAACCTTTCTCTTTGACCGTGCCTTCAGCTCCCCTCTCGACTCTCTTCCCCCTCCTCGCTCCCTCCCTTCCCTCCCCTCACCCTGACCATTTCCCCCCTCCTTGCTCTCTCCCTTCCCTCCCCTCACCCTGACCATTTCCCCCCTCCTCGCTCCCTCCCTTCCCTCCCCTCACCCTGACCATTTCCCCCCTGCTCGGGTCTTGACCCAACTGTGCAGCGCCTTGGGACGTCCTCCTGACGTGAAAGGCGCTTTATAAATGGAATCTTGTTGTTGTTGTGACTTTGGATTCCATATCCAAATTTTGACCTCATAGTCTAGATTGACGCTACAGTTCAGTACTGCGTTGGGAAAGGGAGGGAGAAGTCCTTGATTGTTGTAGGCACCGTACTTTGAATGTGGAGTTAAATGAAGATCCCATCTTCCTGCTCAAAGTGATGTTAAACCTCCCACAACAGTCATGGAAAAGAGTATGTTGCCCTGAAGAGTCAACCTAGAGTCAGGGGTCTCCAACTAGTTGATTGGTGCGAGACTAGACGGCCAAATGGCTTCCTGTGCTGTTATATTCTATTTATAATTCTACGTGGCCTTTGCACATGCTCAACAAAAATGAGAGGCAGGAGCCATATTTATTAAAGTTTTAATCCCCTTTCTCACCTTCAAAGCCCTCCACGGTATTGCTCCCCCCTACTTCTCCGTCCTCCTAACCCCATATCAGCCTATCTGCTCCTTGCGCTCGGCGGATACCGACCTACTTAAGGTCTCCCACACTTCCCGCTCCACCAGTGACCATCAGGCATCTCTGCCCCCAAACTCTGGAACTCTATTCCACAATCCCTCCACCTCACCCCCTCTCTTGTTTTCTTCAAGTCCCTTCTAAAGACTTTCCTCTTCGACCGTGCCCTCCCACCCCACCCCACCCCACCCCACCGGCCTCTTGACCCCAACTCCCAGCTCAGGTCCAAATAACGTTGACTGTCCAGCACTGCGATGTCTTTCCAATGTGAAAAACGCTATACAAGTGTAATTTGTTGCTGTTGTTTAACATAAATATTTATGCTACTTCCAGATGCACAAAATACTTTGTGCATCTGGCTTCATTTTCAATTTGACTCAATAAAGACACAGTTCTATCGCTCCTTCCTCGGCGATCGACCAATTAGAGGCCCCCTGAGAGCGCTCAATGTCCCCGATGTGGTGCTAGAACCTGAGCAGCCGAGAGAGCCACCAGCTGAGCCAGTTATTAAATGGATAATAATAACACATGGATCTGTCTTCGGGATCATTGCCCTTTGTTGCTAATTAAAAACCTTGTGGTTAGAGATACCCACTCAGCTCCTGTGTTGACACTCTTCCGAGGCATCACAGCACTCGCCATGTGCAGAAAATAAGTTGTTTCCCCCCACCCCTCGCCACTGCTCCATGTAGTGTGAGGTGAATTCCATTCCCTCTATTTACTCCTGTTTAATTCACATTATATTTCAAAGTCACCGTGTCCTTGTGTTAAATTCATCGCACGCACACGTCAGATTGTCTGATATGAGAAAAGCTGAAAATCAGCCTCTTTTGAGTGTGTCTTTGGCCAACACCCCAACTGCACTTACCCACCTCTCATCGTGCTCAGGTTCCCATTCCATCTCTGTAAAGCGCTCTGAGACCCCGAAAGGCATAATATAAATGTTCTTGTGGAGGAGACAATATAAGGCCAAGTTGTTGCAGTTGAACTTCAATTAAGTTGGACATTTATAAAGCCCATTTCGCATAGGTTGAACTCATAGCTTGGACTGACACTCCCCAAGGCAGCGCGGGGAGGAGCACTGTATTGTCAGAGATGTCCTTTGGATGAGATGTTAAACCAAGGTGCCACCTATCTGTTCAGGTGGACATTAAAAATCATGTGGAACTATTTGAAAAGAGAAGGAAGTTTCTCTCTTCCAGTGTCCTGACCAACAATCTTCCAGATCAATTTGATCACTCACTTCAAGGCTAGTTGTGGGTCTGTTTGTTGCTGTTAATACAGTAAACTGATAACTCGACACTCCCAGGGAAAAGGGTAAGTGAGAAGTTCTCAGGAGTGTTGAGTTAGGCATATGTATAAATACATAAATAAATGCTGCCAGGATATTAACAGCACGATTACGTAAGCCTCTGTTTGCCTAGCAGTAATTAGGAACCCAGTTATTAGTCGATTGTCGGATCGCTTTTCCAGGAGATAATAATCCCTTAAAAACCCAAATTAAAAAAAAACTGCTGTGAGCAATTGGCTGCCAAGTTTCACCCACAAAATATACAGTCAATTTATTTTACATTCATTTTGTGAAGCGCTTTGAGACTCTCGAAGATGTGATAAAACGTCCATTGCAAGGATTATTATTAAGCGATAGTGACAAGTTAAGACAGGGTCAAGTTAGGAGGAGTTTTGCTGTATAAATCTAAAAAAATAAGTAGGGGGGGGAAAAAAATCACTAAAAACCATTCAGGGTTATCGAGACACGTTTTCTGCCCCCCCACACACAAAAAAAACCATACACAACTTGTTTGAAACAGAATTAATCTGAAGAGAGAATTGTGCTTCCAGGTAAATTGCCAAATTGCCAAAGTTCACACTGAAAGATGGGAGCCCACCCCACTGGGCACATTTATAGGGAGATTTATTTATTCTCCCCCAAGAAAATAATAATTATCCTTTTGCAATTGATACAGCGCCTTCTCGCGTCTTCAAGACGTCTCTAAAGCGCTTCACAGAATATACTGCGAAGCGAATTGACTAAACTTTGTGGGCTAAACGCAGCAGCCAATTGTGCACAGCGCTGTCAACACACAAACAGCCGTGGATTGAGTGACCAAATTATTATTACTTTTTAAAAAGTTGAAGGGATTATTATCCTCGGACAAGCGATGCGACAAATCGACTTACAACCGGGTTCCTCAGCCAACAGGCGCGCGGCGGAGTAAGGAAACTCTTAAAGAGAGAGTCACAATTAACTTTTTGAAACGTATTTCTTTCATATCTCAGACAGTCAACCTATGGAAAGAGTCCAGGAGACCCGAATGATGGCGCTGTGTGAGAACATATGTGTGTGTGGTAACAAGACAGAGCTGATCAGTGAGTAGCAGCTCCTGTCCCACTCCAACAGCAGCGATGATGCTCAGGGAATAGGATAATCATCACCTAACTTTCACTTGTCCTTTTTGTGTGTGTCTTGGAGGGAAGGAAGGAGGAGAGGAGAGGATGCAATGGGTTTGAGACTGAATGGAAAGGCAGAAAGGGGTGTAAAATAAACAAGCTTTTTCTTGTTTTACTTTAGGGAGGTTTTACAGAGAGAGAAAGGAGAGACACAGAGAGAGAGAGAGGGAGAGAGAGAGAGAAAGTTTCGACCATTGAAGAGATACAACCACCAGGATGGATTGGAGATTTTGGAGATCGCCGCTGGGCATCATCTCCCTGTGTTTGGCCACTGCGGGACCTGGGTCTCGAGGGGCAAAACGCGACGTGTGCCCCAGCGAATGCGAATGCTCAGAGTGGACAGCGCTTAAAGTCACCTGCAAGGAGATCGACCGCATCCCAGCCTTGTCCAGCAGCACCGAAACCCTGTGAGTGAGTCTCCACACCTGCGGTGGTGCCCACAACTCGCTACACACGTCGTGTTTTCTTGTGTTTCTTATAAAGGTGTGAGCCCGAGGGAGGAGGTCGGGAGGGAGAAACTAATGCGTGAAAGCGACAAGGGTTTGAAACTTGGGTGTCATTTCACCCTCTCTCCAACCCTGGCAGAACTGCAAAAGTGCCCAGTAACTAGTGAGAACAGTTTGGAGTCCATTCGTTACCATCGGTGGTTTACCTGCGGGTGGGGGGCATCTCTCTGTCTCAATTAATTATTATTTTGCACAAGAGGCGTGTGTGTGTGTGTGTGTGTGTGTTACACAATCTTTTTATTATTATTTAGCAGAAAAGCTTGTCTTGCCAGCCCAGGATGGGATTTATAATAATAATATACTACGAATAATATATGGCATATATATGGTATAATATAATAATAATGACGGTATGTGTAATAATGATGGTGCAGTGTTTGTAATAATAATTATTGCATTTGATACAAAATAATAATAATATGGTCTCTCGAACTGAACGACTGTTTGTGGGATGTTGCTGTGCGCAATTGGCTGCCAAGTCGATTCAATTTACAGTAATAATAATAATCCTTGCATTTGCTATAGTGCTTTTCACGTTGGGAGGACGTCCCAAAGCGCTTCACAGAACACACTGTAAAGTGAATTGACTCTATATTTGTGGGCGAACGCGGCAGCCAATTGCGCACAGCAATGTCCCACAAACAGTCGTACATTGAATTCTGACCAATTTATTATTGTTTTTGGTTTTGGAGGGATTATTATTAGGCTCTGTGTGGAGTAAGGAAACTTGCCCGAGGTTTGGCCCTGACCCCCCGGGGATTGAACTCAGGTCTCTCGCTTGCAAAGCGAGTGCTCTAACCACTGAGCTCAGGACTCCACGAAGCGTACATTCCTATGAAGCGCTTTGAGACATCTTGAAGACATGTTGTATCAAATGCAAACAATATTATTATTATATAGTGCCTTATCACATCCTTGAGATGTCTCAAAGCGTTTCCCAGGGTATACTATAAAGTGGATAGACTGTTCATTCAGTGGGCGAACCCGGCAGCCAGTTGCACACAGCAAAGTTTAAAATATTCAAAGTTTAAGGAAGGAAGTGATTTTTTTTTTCCTCGGCTAGAGATGAAATCCTTTTCCTTTTGAAATTATATTGTTTTGCAACGTGAAATAAATCAATTGACATTTGTTGGATGGGCGCAAATTGGCTGCCACGCTCGCCTATTGCAACAGTCACCTCGCATGCTGAATCCTGTGATGCGTCCTCCTGACTTGAAATTATCAAATAGTGCTTTTTGATAGAGTGCCTTATCACGTCTCAAAGCGCTTCACAGAATATACCAGAAGGCGGATGGACTGTGTATTTTGTAGGCGAAAAGCAGTAGCCAGTTGCACAAATAGCCAATGGAGTGTGTGACCGATTTTATCTGGGAGATTATTCGCCAGCACACCGGTAGAGAGAAATTCTCTTCTATTTTCGAATAATGTTGTGAGATCTTTCACATGCACCCGAACAGGCGGACAGAACCGATCAAAATGAAAGGATTATTTAAAATGTTTGAAGTGAAAATGAGGGTTGGGAGGGTATTTACTTTTGTTTACCGTTCCCCCAGCGTGTGGAAAATTACCTCTTGGCCAAGTTTCCACCCTTGAGATGTGAGCAGGACACGCTTTCTGAACCTGGCTAAAAAAAAACACGCTTTTAAGCCTTTAGACAGGGACGGATCCAACCGATACTGACTCATCCAATAATTTTCCATCCCAGCTACACTCTTCCTCTGCCTTGTGTTGGCATCCAGGCCCATTCCCACCAGGTTCAAATAACGCACGACTCAAATAGAGAGAGAGCGCGTGCTGGAATAGGCTCTCGATTTTTCTTTTTTTTCTTATTGAGAATCCGAGGCGAACGAGCCAGAGTGCCTGACACTACCAAGAACTAAACTCAGAGAGAGTTGCGGAGTTCGGTAGTGTTGTGGTTAGCGTGCTCACCTCGCAAGCAAGAGGACCCCGTTGGACTCCCGGCAGGGCGAAACCTGAGGCAACTTTCCTTACTCCACACGCCTCTGTTTACCTAGCAGTAAGTAGGAACCTTAGTTGTTAGTTAATTTGCGGATCACTTTTTGGAGGTAATAATCCCTCAAGACAAATCCAGGACTGTTTGTTGGACGCTGCTGTGCGCAATTGTTGGCTGCGTTTCACCCACAAAATACACAGTGACTCCACTTTATAATATTTTCTCTGAAGCACTTTGAGACGTCTCAACAATGTGATGAGGCTCCATATCAAATGCAAGGGTTGTTTTTATTATCATTTAAGCAAATGAGTGATTGTATCTGGGAGGAGTGTTGGCCAGGAATCCTTTCTCCTTTTGAGTAATGCCACAGGATTTTTAACGTCCACCTGAACAGGCACAGACATTCGGGACCTCTGTTTAACGTCACAGCCGAAAGACAGCACCTCCGGCAATGCAACATTCCCTCCCAGCACTGTACTGGATTGTCAGCCTGATGTTGGGTGGTGGGCTCGAACCCACAACCTTCTGACTCAGCGGCGAGAGTGCTAACCCGACTGAGCCAGGCTGACACCTATCTTAAAATCAATGGGGAGTTTCACGTAGTGAGGGCCAGCAATTTATTTCATGATGTATTTCTGTAGAAATTCTGTACAAATTCCAAGCGGACAAGTTGAGATGCTACGTGCTGTTTTCGGGCTTGATCAGTTATTTATTTCACGTAAAATGGAGCCTCTGAGGAGAGAGGTGAAAGGTAACGAGTGCTTTTTAATAAGTGAGGCACTGAGTGAGTGAATGGCCTGACCGTAGTTGATCTGAGGGACTGAATTGTGATTAAACACTAGTAGGATTAGTTCGACCTGCCCCAGAGTTCAGCCCAGGGTAAAAGAGACTGTAAAACTCCACAAACAGAATAAACCTTGTGTGTAAAATGCGGGCTGCAAAGGAAATTCAATTTAAAGTCTATTTAAAAGTTTTCCGACTCTTTTTAGGCTGTCGTGTTGCCTATTAACACCCAAAAGGCAGGATCTAGGTGAACTGAGGTGAATCGTGTTAAGGGGAGGTGAATAGTGCTAAACATAGTAGAATAGTGTTAAAGGTGAGAGGAAAGGTGATAAGAGGAAGTGAATAGCTTTAAAGGGGAGGTCAATAGTATTTAATGGGCGGTCAATAATGTTAATGGGGATGAGACTAGAATTTAAGAGGAGTTCTCTAATGTTAAAGAGGAGTTGAATTGGGTTAACTTTGAGCGCAACAGTATTTCCATAAACAGACCAACCAATTTTATCTGGAGAATTGCTCGTCAGGACTTCCCTTTTGTCTTAGAATTTAATTAATATCGCACACAATTGTGGAAAATTCTTCAATTCTGCTCCACCTTAAATTTTAAAACAAAGTGATTAAGGGCTGAGACCACGAGAAATCTCTGCATTGAGCCCCCCTCAAATCACATTGACATCGCTGTGCTGTGTGCAAAATTGGCCGACTCGTTCACCTACAAAATACACTTTATGGTAAATCCTATGAAGCGCTTCGAGGCATCCTCCGGAAGTGAAAGGAACTTTATCAAATGCAAGGATTATTATTATTATTACAATTTTCTTTGGTGTCAGCTGAGTAGTCTGAATTAGTCTGAGTAACCCATCACCACGGTATTAAGACTAAATTGAGAAATCCATGCATCCCACCTACACATGGAAATCCCAGAAATAGATTGTTGGAATGGAATAATAATAACAATAATCCTTGCATTTGATATAGCGCTTTTCACGTCTTCTCGGTATCTCAAAGCGCTTCACAGAATAGACTGTAAAGTGAATTGACCGTATATTTGTGGGCGAACGCAGCAGCCAATTGCGCACAACAGTGTCCCACAAACAGTCGTGGATTGAAAATGACCAATTTATTATTGTTTGGTTTTGGAGGGATTATTATTAGGCTCTGTGTGGAGTAAGGAAACTTGCCCAAGGTTTCGCCCTGACCTGCCGGGAATTGAACCCAGGTGTCTCGCTCGCAAAGTGAGTGCTCTAACCACTGAGCTACAGGACTCCAGAATGCGCTCTGTGTGTGTGTGTGTGGACGGATGACGACAACAAGAACTTGCACTTACATATTGCCCTCCACACAGAGTAGCGTCTCAGAGCCAGTTTCTACTTTATGCCGTAATTCCGATGCATGCCACGAGATGGCGGAGAAGAGGTAGTTTTGTTGTAATAAATGCTTGTTTTGCCCCCATTATAAGTGCCCCTCCTGTTGGGGATAATTACTTGAGAGGCAATGATGGTTGACAGAGTGGACTTCTATCTGATAAGAACCAGGAGTGGGTGCGTACTGTTTTTTTTGTGGGCAAAACGCAGCAGACATTCAGCACACAGCAATCCCTCACTTTCCCCAACCACCTCCCGCCTCGCAAGCGAGAGGACCCGGGTTCGATTCCTGGGCAGGGGGCGAAACCTCAGGCAAGTTACCTCACTCCACACCCCTCTGTTTACCTAACAGTAAGTAGGAACCCGGTTGTTAGTTGATTGGTGGATCACTTTCCTGGGCTAATAATCTCTTCAAATAAATAAATAATAATAATAATTTGGTCACTCAATCCATGACACATCCTGTGCACAATTGGCTACCGCATTTCGCCCACAAAATACAGTCAGTCCACTTTACAATATATTCTGTGAAGTGCTTTGAGACGTCTCAACGACGTGATGAGGCGCTATATCAAATGCAAGAACTATTATTAGTAGTATTGTTGGTTACGGCAACAAGCTAAAAAACTCCAAGAATGGGGGGCGCGGAGAAACAATGGCAAGTGAATAAGTAAATAGATAAGCAGAGCTCAGACTGTCAGAGACTCCACTAACAGACTGGCTGTGTTTCTGCCAAAGTGTTTTTATTAATTCCCCCTGTGACTTGTTATAGGAAGTGTATTACATAACTAACAGCAAACCACTTCTACTGCGCTCCACCAGCTCCGCTTGAACTGTTCTGACAGAGGTTAACCTCTGACTGTGTGGGTAATTGTAAAGCATGTGCCTCTGGGGCTTGGGATGGGGAGGAGATGTTGTGATGGAACAGCTCTTTGCCCGGGGCTTAAAGGTGTTGCTTGGCAACTGGAGTTAACATAGAACACTGCTCTGTTATTGTCCCCCCCGTCCCCCCCCATAACTTTTTATATTAAATAAGAGCTTGTATTTTAAGGCACCTGTAACGCTGAAACGTAGCAAAGCGATTCACAGCTATTAATCTTACATAGTGACTAGACACAGGCCTTGGTTGACTCTGAGGTCAAGTCCCAACATGGGGGCTCGAACCAACAACCTTCTGACCCAACAACAACAATTTGCATTTATACCGCACCCTCCATCCAGGGTAAGCGTATCGGAGTACTTAACAGTGGTGGAGCGTAACGCCAAGCCAGGGGGAGGTGACATAGGAACATGAGAAGACCATTCAGCCCATCGAGCCTGTTCCGCCATTCTATTAGATCATGGCTGAGTATTACCTCAACTCCAAATACTCCCCTTTGCCTCATATCCCTTGATACCTTTACCTAACAAAAATAATCTATGGTGAGAGCGTAGGCACGGTTGAAGAGGAAAGTCTTAAGACGTGATCCAAAAATGGGTAAGGGAGGGGGCGAGCTGGAGGGGTTGAGGGAGAGAGTTCCAGAGTTTCGGGGCGTAGTGGCTAGAGACAAGAGAGCGACCTAGTGAACCAGACTGACTGAACTCTTTATTCCTTGTGAGATTGACTGACTTCCTTCTGTTTGACAGCCGATTCATGGAAACTCACTTGAAGACGATTCCGACTGGGGCTTTTGCAAACCTTCCAAACATCTCCCGGATGTAAGTCTCTGTCATTTGTGCCCCGGTGTGCGCTGTAATGTGTTGGGGAAGTGGGAGGAGCAGGCAATAGCTCCAAACGAAACCGGACAACTTTCTCAGTTCCCTCACAATTCAAAGGGATTCAGAGTGATTGAGTGACAGATGAAGGTGTTGTTGGAATCTTTTGGGAAATTGGATGGGTGGGACGATGGATCAATGGGTGACTCCTGCTTGAAGCTAGAGTTGGTTTCGATTTACAAACACACACTCCCCACTCGGTCAGTGGGTAAATGGAGTGGGGTCCTGTAGCGTAGTGGTTAGGGCACTCACCTTGCAAGTGAGAGGACCCGGGTTCGATTCCCAGGTGGGGCAAAAAGGTAGGCAAATTTCCTTACTCCACACGCCTCTGCTCACCTAGCAGTGGTTCTTAGTCGATTGGCAGATCGCTTTCCAGTCATAATCATCCCTTAAAAAAATAATAATGTGGTCATTCAATCCATGCCTGTTTGTGGAACACTACTGTGCGCAATTGTCTGCCGTATTACGCCCACAAAATACACAGTCACTCCAATTTACAGTATATTCTGTGAAGCACTTTCAGACTTCTCGACGATGTGAGAATGTGCTATATCAAATGCAAAGATTATTAGTATTATCATTATTATTAAACATCTCATGTGGGTGCCCAAGCTTCACGGACCGAGTGTTGAGTAACTGCACCCTTTCCCCCTTTTTCCTCCAGATATATTTCCATCGATGCCACCCTGCAGAGAGTGGATGCCCTCGCCTTCTTCAGCTTAAATAAAGTCACCCACATGTGAGTGTCCATGTCAGCTCCAACACTGACTTTACAGGCTATAGTGTGGGGGTGGGGATGGCGGAGGAGTAACGTTGCTGGGTGGGGGGGGGGTGGGGTGCGCGTGCAAGCCATTGGCTCAGGAAGGAACTGGACAAGTTTCTCAGTTCGCAATTCAAAGGGATTCAGGGTGATTGGGTGACAGTGAAGTTCATAAAGCGTTAAAGTCTGTTACTAGCTTTTAATGGCCTTTCAAACCAACGTTTCAGATCATTAAGGTTGTAGGAATCTTTGGGGGAAATTGGATGGGTAGGAGTATGGAAACTTTACAGAGGCGGATCAGGATCCAAACCCTTGAGAAAGTTAAACCCAGATCAGTGCTTTCGGATGCAATGAAACAAAAGAACAAAGGCACATGTGGGTTCAGAGTCGCGAAGGGAAATTTCAGGACACACACCAAGGAAGTGTTTCTACTAAAGAGAAGAATTATAAACTGGGATAGAGATACCAGGAAGGTTGGTTAAGGCTAGGACTCATATAAAAACAGCCAGCTGGATGCTGTTATGGGAGAACAGACGAGAAGGGAGTGGAGTCCTGTAGCTCAGTGGTTAGAGCACTCGCTTTGCAAGCGAGAGACCTGAGTTCAATTCCAGAGGGCGAAACCTTGGGCAAGTTTCCTTACTCCACACAGAGCCTAATAATAATCCCTCCAAAACAAAACAATAATAATTGGTCATTTTCAATCTATGACTGTTTGTGGGACATTGCTGTGCGGAATTGGCTGCTGCGTTCGCCCACAAATATACAGTCAATTCACTTTACAGTGTGTTCTGTGAAGCGCTTTGGGACGTCCTCTCGACGTGAAAAGCGCTATATCAAATGCAAGGATTATTATTATTAAGGGCAGGGATTCTGGAAGGATGAACTCAAAGGACCTTCTTCATCTGAAACAAGATTCTGTGACAATCAGGAAGTATTCCTTTACACAGTGTAGTTACCAGCTGGAGCCAGGAGTCACTGGGAAGGGTGGCCAAGGACAATGGTTTGGGAAACGTTTTGGATGCTCAGAGGGGATGCTGGAAGGAACATAGAAACAGGAGTCAGCCATTCAGCCCCTCAAGCTTGTTCCACCATTCTATAAGATCAAAGCTGATCTGTACCTCAACTCCAATTATCCATATTTGCCCCATATAATTATATAATAATAATAATAATCCTTGCATTTGATATAGCGCTTTTCACATCGGGAGGTCGTCCCAAAGCGCTTCACAGAACACACTGTAAAGTGAATTGACTGTATATTTGTGGGTGAACGCGGCAGCCAATTGCGCACAGCAATGTCCCACAAACAGTCGTGGATTGAAAATGACCAATTTATTATTGTTTTTGGTTTTGGAGGGATTATTATTAGGCTCTGTGTGGAGTAAGGAAACTTGCCCAAGGTTTCGCCCTCTGCCTGGAATTGAACTCAGGTCTCTCACTTGCAAAGCGAGTGCTCTAACCACTGAGCTACAGTACATCTATCCACTTCAGGCTTGAAAATTGAATGGATCCAACATCCACAGCCTTTTGGGGAGAGAGTTCCAGATTTCCACTAACCTTTGGGTGATAAACTGCCTTCTGATTTCACTCCTAAATGGCCCAGCTCTAATTTTAAGATGATGCCCCCCCCGTTGTTCTGGATTCCCCCACCAGAGGAAATAGTTTCTCTGTAGCTACCCTATCAAAGGAAGAATGAGATCAGATTGCTCAATTGTCTCTCTTTCTCCCCGTACCCCAACATTTTAACCTCTTGTGTGATGTGATGAGTAGTGGTTTGGTGAGATCAGAGCATGGGTCTGAACATTGGAAGTGGTGGTGGGTGGGGCAAGGGAGGGAGATGTAAATTGAATTTTATGAATGTTCAGTGAATGCCTTGTGCCCGCAGAGAGATCCGCAACACGAGGAGTCTGACCTCTACCCACCCGGACGCTTTCAAGAACCTCCCAGTTTTAAAATATCTGTGAGTATTTATTGAAAAGAGCTTTTTTTTTAATATTTCCTCAATATTTCCAGGCACAGAAGCCGTGACTCAGTTTGGTGCTCTCTCTCTCTCTCTCTCTCTGTGTGTCTATCACCTTCTCAAACCAAACCTGGTTATTTATGTATTAGCAACAATAACTTGCATTTATATAGCAGGGTAGCATCCCAGAGCGGATAATTATTAATATTAATTAATAAGATTATTAATAATAATCCTCACATTTCATCCTGCTCTCAAAAGCGCTTCTCAGAATTTTACTGTGAAATTTAGTAACTGTGTTCTTGTAGTCCTTTCTCACCAACGTTTGGGATCATTAATAAAGAGTTTGTGAAGACTGACAGAAGTATTAAAGCCTGTTATTAGCTCGCTACAGGACAATCCCATTTGAACATGCCCCCGGTGTATAATGCGGGTGTGTACAGGAAAGTCGGGACACAAACAATCCTGACCACATTTAACCTGCAAATGCAGGAAGTAATGTCAGCGGCCACCTGGTGCCCCGGGAAGCACTACCCACCTGGTGGCCATTTTGTTCCCCCTTAGACAATTTATAATTATTTTGTGCGTTTGAAGTCAGAAAGAAATCACAAAAGCACTTAGTTTGCAGGGGTCTGAGTTTACGAACCTAAATCACCACGTTGTAGTCAGAATCGCGGGGTAATTCACTTAAAAGTATCTCAAGAGCCTCAAAAGCCATTTAATATTTCCATTTTACAGGGGGCTATTCAATACTGGATTGCTATCGTTTCCGGACTTGACAAAGATCTGTTCAACCGATGTGAATTTCTTACTGTAAGTCCATCTCTCTCTTTCTCTTCATACGGCGTCTTATCAAGTCGTTGCGATGTCTCAAAGTGCTTCACAGGATACACTGTGCAGTGGATTGCCTGTGCATTTTGTGGGAAAAACGCAGCGGCCAATTGGGCACAGCAGCATCCCACAAAAAGTCATGAATTGAGTGACCAAATTATTATTATTTATTGATAATATTATTTATTCATGTTTTTAAATTCGGTACCTGACGGGAGGTTGTGCCATGGAGGTTGAGAAGAGTTTGTTTCCCCCGGAGTTTTAGATGGTTAAATTCCAGCAGTTATCCCCCTCCAACACATGCACATTCTGGGGCCATTATTTGTGCTATGTGTTTCTCATCAGGGTAAAGAGCTCTTGTCCACCTTGCCTAGTTTGAACATACCACTAATCCAGTTTTGTTTGACCTCTCTCTGTTTTGTTTTTCAGGGAATTTGCCGACAATCCCTATATTTCAGCCATACCAGCAAACGCCTTCCAGGGCTTATCAAACGAATCACTAACTCTGTGAGTAACAGCATCAGTTGGGTTGAAAGGGAGGCATTGTGTTGTGGGAGGTGCTGTTCTGTGAATGAGATGTCAAACACACACTTTAACTAGTGTAACTAGACACCTATAGCTATAATTGTGAAATCTCCCACACTCTGCTCTATAACTGGTATAGCTGGTGTAACTAGTGTAACTAGACTACTATAGCTATAAGTTATAGTTGCACTAACCTTGGACTTGCACTCGCACTTTGGATCCCATGGACAATTTTAAAAGAGATGGGGTTTTTCTCTCTCCCGGTGTCCTGGTCAACAATCCCCCAAGTAAAATGTTCACTCACTCCACGGCTGTTTGTGGGAGACTGCTGTGGGTATTGTGCTGCCATGTTTTATCTTCAAAATACAGTCACCTCACTATAGGGGGCAATTATTACCCCCGTAAAGCTATCCACCAATCGACTAACAACTGGGCTCCTATTTACTGCTAGGTAAACAGGCGTGTGGAGGAGTCTAAGGTTTTGCCCTGTCCAGGAATCAAACCCGAGTCCTTTCACTTACGAGGCAAGTGCACTAACCACTATGCTACGAAACTCCACATTAAAGATTGTGAGGGAGGAGTGAGGCAGAGAGGGTTTTGTGATGAAGTTTCTGAGAGATCGAAGAGAATACCACATCTTTGGATCCCTTTGAGGTAACGGTTTGTGATAACTTTCCCTTCTCTTCTCTGCTTACAGCAAGCTCTACAATAACGGATTTACTAAGGTCCAGGCTTATGCCTTCAATGGAACTAAATTGGACGCTGTGTAAGTATTTTACTTGCAATTGAAAGAGAAGGGAAAGAGTTAAATGATTTTGCTTAGCGCTCCAGCAAAATCACGATTCTCTTTTTGGCACATCAGTCAGTAACATAACGAGAAGGCGAGCATTTCAAATTGTTTCCGATAAAACTGTTGAGCGAGAAGGTTGGGGAAAGAGAGAGAGAAAGAGAGACTCAATGACAGTGAGAGAGAGGTAGAGAGAGAGACTTTGGCAGAGTTTGAGAGACATATTGTAAATTGCCCTTAAGCTTCTGATGACCCAAAGTACTTTCCAACCTGCCCCAACCAATGTTATAACCAGCAATGCTTTTCCAAAAGCATTCTTCAGATAGAGTAATTTAAGAAAAACTTAAATTCTGTCTTACCTGATCCGGCCTTTCGGATGAGACATTAAACCGAGGTCCCGTCTGCCTGTTCGGGTGGACGTCAAATATCCTGCGGTGCTATTCGAAAAGAGAAGGGAGTTTCTCTCTCCCCGTGTCCTGGCCAACAATCCCATAAATAAAATCGGTCACTCACTCCAATGGCTGTTTGCAGGATATTGCTGAGTGCAAACTGGCAGTTGGGTTTTGCCCACAAAATAAACAGTCACTCTACAGTAAATCCTGTGAAGCGCTTTGTGATGTCTCAATGACGTGATAAGGTGCTATATCAAATGCAAGGATTATTATATTAATACACAGTCTCCAAGCATCTTTGCAACACTACTTACACCCACACACCAGAGTCTATCCTCCCATTGAATGAACTGCTTTCCAAGTGGGAAATTGCCAACAAGTTATTTTCTGCAATCAGCGACAACACATTCCCTATCCCAGACACTCAGTATCTCCCTGGAATTAGGAGTGGGAAAATTAGCCACTGTCCACAGAGGTTGCTGCTTTCATCTACAAAACACACGGTCACTACACTTTACAGAAAATCCTGTGAGGTACTTCAAGACATCCTCTCGACGTGAAAGGAGGTGTATCAAATGCACACTATTTACATAGCCCCCTTTCACGTATGGTAGGATAGGATCTCAAAGTGTGTGTGTGAAAAAATTTGGTTCTTAAAAAGAAACCAAATTAATTTATGAATTTTCCACAATTCTGTGCAGTGCTTAAGTTTGAGAAAAAAAGGGGATCTTACAGGATGGGAATGGGTGGAATTTGGGATCTTAAGAAGTGTGTCTTTTTTGTTTCTTCCCTCAGGTACCTGCACAAGAATAAACACATGTCCACCTTCCACCAAGACGTATTTTCGGGTGTTCAGGGCGGACCCACTCTCCTGTAAGTGGCCAACACACCCATCGCTCCTCAAGAGGCTGTTAAGCCGTCCAGTGGAGCACATGTGAGGCTGTGCGGTGTGAATGATGTATTCAGGCCAGAGAGACTATGAATATGTAACATTTGAGAAATGTGAAAGGGTGTCAGCCTGGCTCACTGTGTCAGCACTCTCACCTCCAAGTCAGAAGGTTGAGGGTTGAAGACCTATACAGGCAGAGCACAGCAGCTAATCAGCCCACAGGAAAGATCCCACAAACAGGCACGAGATGAATGGCCAAATTATTTGAGGGATTGTTGGGCCAGAAAACTTGGAGAAACTCCCTTCTCTTTTTTCTTTAGCAGTGGCACGGGATGCATCTGAGGAGGCTTATTGGAAGAGCATATATTCACCCTAACATAGTGATTGGGACTGAGGGTTAAGCTTAATTGAAATGGTTTTAAGACTTAAAGGAGGATGTTATAGTTCCTAGGTTTGATATTCACCAAAACTAAGCTTTGAGCCATGTGTGGTCTAACCAGCTGCCCTATAATAATATATTATATTTATGTATATATATATATATTAAAAAATCCTTGCATTTGATAACGCGCTTTATCATGTCGCTGAAAGGTCTCAAAGTGCTTCACAGAATATATTGTAAAGTGAATTGACTGTAGGCGAAATGCAGTAACTAATTGCACACAGCTGTGTCCTACAAACAGTAGTGGATTGAGTGACTAATTATTTTGATTTAATTAGTTATTTATTTGAAGGGATTATTACTCCTGGTAAAGTGGATTGACTGTATAATTTTGTGGGCAAAACGCAGCAGCTGTGTCACACAAGCAGTTGTGAATTGAGTTTTTTTTGAGGAATTATTACCTCGAAAAGTGATCCGCCAATCTACTAACAACCGGGTTCGTAATGCTAGGTAAACAGATGTGCGTGGAGGAAAGAAACTTGCCTAAGGTTTCACCCTGCCCTGGAATCGAACCTGGGTCTCCTCGTGTGAAGCGAGCTCGCTAACCACTAGGATACAGGACTCTACATAATACCTAAAAGGGTTTAACAATGACAGGGTCAAGCAAGAGGCAGAAGAGCAGCGGGATGGTAGAGGAGCAAGGGGAGGTGACTGTAGACACGGGTGAAGGAATAGATTTTAAGGTGGGCTTTAAAGACGGATAAAAGAGGAGGCAAGGTGGAAGTGTAGAGAGAGGAGGGGAGTTCCAGAGCTCGGACACTTAGTAAGTAAAGGGGAAGATTGTCACAAGGAACCGCAGAACCAATTCCCATCAGACCCAATAAGAGTAGTCATCAGTAGGTAAGCTCAAACCCAGCTCGCAATCTCTGTTGGTAGGTGAACGATCCAACGCACGGATCACATACATGCAATTTGTAACATTGACTGAGTCCTGATAGTCCTGTCTAGACAATAATTTCCAGTGAAGTGCTTTTAAGATATTGACATTTCAAGTACAAGGAATATTATTATTTATAATCATACTAATATGGACAGCGAATCTGGGCTTTTACTCTCTGCCAATTTAATGAAGGAAATTCATATCCAACCTATTGCTTCACATTAATTGGCCTTGGGCCAGAGACAGCAGAGAACAAAGACGTGCTGAACCGCTCAGGAAAATTACATCTGACAATGCGGATTACATCAAGTGACCGAGTTAGTGATTTCAGGCTCCAAACCAACACATGGTCACTCAATTTCCTGTTTCAAGCCTCTCTCTAGTTTCCATTCTATATGTAGAGAAAGAGGCTTCTAATGTTNAAAAAAAGAGGCGTTAATGCGTTAATTAAGAAATGTTCACTAACTACCTCCTCTCCAGATAGGCGGAGTCAATTAACCGGTCGCTATATAAAATAAATTAGGCTTTTTTTTAAAAACTTAATTTTCATTTTAAATGTAATTTGACTGCGGGGAGGTAAACACAACTAGAACAACAACAAGATTACATTTGTATAGCGCCTTCCAGGTCGAGAGGACGTCCCAAGAGTACAGCATTTCAGACCCGAGCTGGGGTTGGTGGGGAGGGGGAAGGGAGGAGAGGTAAAGGGTGGCGGCCGATGGCATGGTCGAAGAGGAGGGTCTTGAGGTGGGACTTGAAGGAGGCTAAGGAGGGGATGAGGCGGAGTGACTGGGGAATGGAGCTCCAGAGGTTGGAGGCAGAGTGGCTGAAGGCTCTCCCACAAATGGTGGGGCAGGTGCGTCGGGGGACATGGAGCAGGCCAGAGCCGGCTGAACGGAGTGAACGGGCGAGTAGGGTCGGGAGAGGCCATGGAGGGCTTTGTATGTGAGGACCAGGATCTTGAACTGGATCCTCTGAAGGATAGGCAGCCAGTGGAGACGGGCGAGAATGGGAGAGATGGGGTCATGGAGTTTGGTGCGGGAGAGGACACGGGCTGCAGAGTTCTGGATTATCTGCAGTCTGTGGAGGGAGGAGTTGGGAAGGCCGACAAGGCATGAACAAGAGTTTCAGTGGCCTGAGGAGTGAGGCAGTGGCGGAGTCGGGCGACGTTACAGAGGTGAGGGAAGGCAGAGCGGGTCATGGCTTGGACGTGGGGAAGACGACAGTTGAGGGTCGAATAAGCCCCCTAGGTTCCTGACTGGCTTGGTAAGTTGAAGTGTGCAACCATGGAGGTTGATGCTGCCAGATCCTGAGGTGCAGAGGCGCTGGCGTGAGCCAGTCAGGAGGGCCTCAGTCTTGTTCACATTCAACTGTAGGAAGCTTTCCCTCATCCAGGACTTCATGTCCGACAGTCAGTCTGTCAGGACAGCAGTGGTCCTGGAGTTGAGGGTGGAGGCAGAAAGATAGAGTTGGGTGTCATCCGCATACATGTGGAAGTTGACGTCTCCTAGGCGTGATAAGGCAATATCAACTAGACTTCCAAAAGGCAATTTATGCCCCACAAGGACTCCTTAACAAACTAATATCACTGGATATCTAGGGTAAAGTTAGAGCTCTCGCCTCACAAGCCAGAGGACCCGGGTTCAAATCCTGGCAGGGCGAAACCTTAGGCAAGTTTCCTTACTCCACACGCCTCTGTTTACCTAGCAGTAGGAACCTGGTTGTTAGTAGATTGGCAGATCACTTTTTGGGGGTAATAGTCCCTTCAAAAAACCTCAATTCACAACTGTTTGTGGGACACTGCTGCTGCATTTTGCCCACAAAATATACAGTCAATCCACTTCACAATATATTCTGTGAAGTGCTTTGAGACGTCTCCTAGGCGTGATAAGGCAATAATGCAAGGATTATTATATATTATTAATATTATAAATTTTCCCCGCGAAGTGGAAGAATGTTTCAGAAGTCCTATCAATTCTGTGTAAAATAATTGGGTGGGATTTTTCTTTGGATATTTTACATCACTTTTCCTGGTATTGGATGTTTGCGTAGGCAAGAGATGGAAAGTCTAGTAGATTGTCTTATTTTCAGTCGAAACCTCATCCAAGTGCAACACTCAACAGGAAACACTTTTCAGGAATTTGAATGTAATAAGAATAACATCATCGGGTCAGTAATTTCAAGTCTAAGCGTTTTATAGTTTGTAAAGGATTAAAGAATTCAGTCTTGATTTGGTCGTCAGTTTCAAGACAAATGTTCCGTATGTTCAGAGGAACATAGGAACAGGAGTAACCAGTTCGGCCTCTCGAGCCTGTTCTGCCATTCTATTAGATCATGGCTGATTTACACTTACCCACCTTTGACTTATATCCTGACCTAACAAAAATCTAAGAAAAATTGATCCAGCATTCAAGCCTTTTGGGGAAGAGAAATTTCCACTACTCTTTGTGTGGAAAAAGTGCTTCTTAATTTCACTCCTTAAGTTGACGTCCCCTTGATCTGGATTCCCTCACCAGAGGAAATAGTTTCTCTACGACTTGAGCTCTTTTAAACATACTCATTGAATTTGGAGTCCTGTAGAGTGGTGGTAAGAGCACTCGCCTCACAAGGCAGAGGATGAGGGTTCGATTCCCAGGCAGGACAAAACCTTAGGCCAGCAGTAAATAGGTTAGTCAATTGACGGATCGCTTTCCGGGATATTTATCCCTAAAAAAAGTGATCACTCAATCCACGATTGTTTGTGGCACACTGCTCTGCGCAATTGACTGCTGCGTTTCGCCCACAAAATATACACTTTACTGTATATTCTGTGAAGCTCTTTGAGACGTCGAGAAATTATGATAATCAGCTATATCAAATATAAGGATTATTATTATAATTCCACCTCTAACAGTTACTGGACTTGTTCCTCTTGTTCTCTCATCGCCCCCCCAGCGACGTGAGCCAGACCAGTGTCCACTCTCTGCCAATCAGAGGCTTGGAAACCCTGAAGGAATTGATAGCAAAGAACACGTGGACCTTAAAGAAGCTGCCTCCTCTGAAGACTTTCCTTCACCTGGTGAGAGCTCACCTCACCTACCCCAGCCACTGCTGTGCCTTCAAAAACTGGAAGAAAAACAAGGGGTGAGTGAGTGTGGAACAGCAAGCCAGGTTCAACATAAAACTGTAAGGTCCCAGAACAAATAAGGTCTCGTTTGGATCTTTTGTTAAGAGCTGAGGAAAAACAGCGTCCGAATCGAATGCGTCGCAGCTAACTGCAGGTCAAGTGTAGTGACTGTGTGCTCGCGTTCACAATGGACACCGTCACTACACTTTACAGTATAAAAGAAAGTACATTTGGCGCTTTTCTCGATAAGTTGGTACTTTATCAGTTTATAGAATCATAGAATCCTACAGCACAGAAAGAGGCCATTCGGCCCATCGTGTCTGTGCCAGCTTTTTGAAAGAGATATCGACTAGTCCCACTTCCCCGCTCTTACCCCATAGCCTCACAATTTTTTTCTTTTCAAGTACCTACCGGAAGCGCTCAGAGAAAATTGCTACCCCGCGTGAAGGGCGCTGAATAAAAGAATTCAATTATCCGAAACCCCTTTGAAAGTTGTTATTGAATCTGTTTCCACCAGCCTTTCAGGTCGTGTGTACCAGACCGTAACAACTCTTCCTGGTTAAAAAAAAGTCTCCCCATCTCCCCTCTGGTTCGTTTGCCAATTATAACAATAATAATCGTTGCATTTGGCATAGCGCCTCTCACATCAAAATGATGGCCCAAAGCGCTTTACAGGATTTACTGTGAAGTGACTGTGTCGTTGAGGTTATTTTGTAGGTTAAAATCACCTAAAGACTTTGTGCTAAGTGTTTCCTCTTCCCTTCCCCCCACCACACACATCCCTTTGCCCACATTGGTGTGAATCTCCGCAGGATTTTGGAGTCACTGATGTGTAACCAGACGTCTGGGCCAGGCCTCAGACACAGGAGGTCGATTCACATGTACAACGGACCTCTCTACCAAGATTACAACATGGGGCACGGCACGGAACGGGCAGACCCGGCCTTCGACCGCGACTCCAAGTCCAGAGATTTCCAGGGCAACTCCCACTACTACGTGTTCTTCGAGGAACAAGGCAATGGGGACGTGGGCTTCGGGCTGGAGCTGAAGAATCCGCAGGAAGACCTGGTGCAGGCCTTTGACAGCCAGTATGACTACATGGTGTGCGGTGGGAGCGAGGAGATCGTGTGCCGGCCGGAGCCCGACGAGTTCAACCCGTGCGAGGACATCATGGGCTACCCTGCACTGCGGGTCATGGTTTGGATCGTCAACCTGCTGGCCATTTTGGGCAACGTTTTCGTCCTGGTTATCCTGCTGACCAGCCACTACAAGCTGACGGTCCCTCGCTTCCTGATGTGCCACCTGGCCTTTGCGGACCTGTGCATGGGGTTGTATCTGCTGCTCATTGCCTCCGTGGACCTCCGCACACGCACCGAGTATTACAACCATGCCATCGACTGGCAGACGGGGCCGGGCTGTGGGGCAGCTGGCTTCTTCACGGTCTTCGCCAGCGAGCTCTCGGTCTACACGTTGACCATCATCACCCTGGAACGCTGGTACACCATCACCTTCGCCATCCGGCTGGACCGCAAGATGCGTCTGCGCCACGCGGCAGCCATCATGGCTGGCGGCTGGGCCATGTGCTTCCTGCTGGCTGTCCTGCCCCTCGCCGGGATCAGCAGCTACATCAAGGTCAGTATCTGCCTGCCCATGGATGTGGGGACGCCTCTAGCTCAGACCTACATCGTGCTCGTCCTTCTGGTCAACATCACGGCTTTCGTCATCATCTGCGTCTGTTATGTGAAGATCTACGTGACGGTCAGGAGCCCCCATTACAAGCCGGGCAGCAAGGACACCAAGATCGCCAAGAGGATGGCGGTGCTCATCTTCACCGACTTCACCTGCTTGGCGCCCATTTCCTTCTACGCCTTGTCCGCCATCTTGAACAAACCACTGATTACCGTCAGCAACTCCAAGATCCTCCTGGTCCTCTTCTACCCGCTCAACTCCTGCGCCAACCCCTTCCTCTACGTGATCTTCACCAAAGCCTTCCGCAGGGATGTCTTCATTCTGCTGAGCAAGGCGGGCTTCTGCCAGCAGCGGGCGCAGATATACCGCGGCCAGACCGTCTCGGGCAAGAACAGCAGCGCCGGCTCCGGCCCGGGTAACCGAGGGGGCAGGGGGGGAACCAGCAACACGAGCCCGGCCAAGGACCACCATCCCCTTCACGGTAAATGGCGCAAACCAGCCATGTCAGCCGAGGACTTCAAAGTGAGTGTGATGTAGACTTGTTATCTGTGGTCAACTAAAGTGGAGTTTTAGTGGAGAGTTGGGTAGTGACCAAAGCACACGAGGGGTTAAACCCACGCTGTGAACGCCTGTCATACCCCAACGCTGGGGGGGGGGGGGACAGGACAGGACAGGATGATCCGGTCAAGTGGGCAAGATGTTTTGTCACTTTCCTGTTGTGGTTGACTCGACTCCTGGGATTCAGTTACTTTTAACGGTGGAATTATCTTTGCTGTTTGTATTTCGAAGTTATAGAACCGTGAAATATAGATAACTGCCCATATAACGATTTGCTTAATTTATACATTCCCCCGTCCTCAACGTTCGCACATTGACTGCTGAGCAGACCTTGTGTTTCCTGTTAGCTGTCGGTGCTATGAGTGCGGTTTCCTATATAAAGATATAGGAAACCACCTGATGAGCAAAACTTCTCTCAGTCTCGCTTTTTTTAGCCTTAAAATGTAAGGAATGGCACGGACATTTGGAAATTTCTTGAATCATAAACTTATGGAACAGGCTCCTCTGGGGAGACAGTGGAAGCAGAACGTGTTGTTTGTTTCAAGAACAAATTAGATAGATTTCTGTCGGGATATCGTATATAGTTTGGGACACGAAATGTCAAGCGACTGCCAGGCTGATGGATGGACCTTGGTCTGCTTTAACCTCGCAAATTCTTATGTGCCTGTGAATCCAGTCTCGCTTTGGTAGCTTGTTAGTTTCTTCGGGGAGGGGAGTGGGGGGTGGCGGGGGAGGAGGGAGAGTGAAATCACTTGCCCACTTCTCTAAGACTTCAAGAATTTTCAAAGGTTCTGCGTCAGAATTTTAAGACAAAATGCTCCAAAGGTTAAGGCCACGAGGAACTTTGGGCGTCAAGCTTCCTGATTTGCAAACCGGCGTCTCTTTGGCGGAGGAAGGTTAATTTTGCGCTCATCGAGATTTGGAATGTCAGCGCAGGGCAAGGCAACGGCCATACTCTCTCACCAGTTGCTCCCAGGTGCTTTAGCCAATAACATGGGTTAGGCACAGAACAACAGCCCAGTGACCGTCAGGGTGAGGTACAAGAAATCGTGATGTTATCTGTAAGCCACAACCTCCAGGGCAGGTTCAGGAGATTCTACTTCAGAGAGAGAGAAAAGAAATCATATGTAAGCCCATAGACTGCCAGACCTCCTCCCGACATGGAAGGCCAACGTTGTGTCATATATAAAGATTATTATTATTATCATCATCATCGCCGTGTGGTTAGCTACTCCGCCACCAACCTCTCTTTGTGTTCAATCATCTTGTCACTTTACCATCCAGCTTGTCACTTCTGTTTCCGTTCACCCCCAGAAACCTTTCTTTCTAAAGCACAAGGCTCCTGGGAAGAGATTTTGTTATTACGACTCATGAGAATACTATCCAGTCTTCGCTTCAGTTTCTATGGTTTTTTGAGGGCACAAGTTTACTGATCAACAAAATCTTCGCTCTTCATCATCATTATCATCATCAATCGCCTGATTTTGCTTCTGTATCTTCAGTTTCCCTCCTACCTCTAGAACTCCAGTTCCGAATCCCTCCCCCACCGCCATCTTCAAGGCCAATCTGAAGACTATATTTAGAGAGCTTGGCCATGCCATCCCACTCTCCACCCCCAGCTCAGATGCAAACCCTTAACTGTCCAACACCTTGGGATGTCCTGCAGGCGTGAAAGGCGCTGTATAAATGTTATTTGTTGTTGTTTCTGAAACCCGAAGCCGAGAAGGGGAGGGTATCTGTGTTCCTCTGCACTGAGAATGTGAGCTGCCGGCCTTGAAGCCACGATGAGCTTCAAGTGATTACCTTGACTTGACTTGAATCACTGCCTGTACAATAGACTCCAATCCTTTCCCACCTCCTGCTGTTGGCTTCACAGGGCTGGAATTCCCAGTGTCGACCGCAGTAGCTGTTCCCAGTCCTGCGGCTCTAGCCCCCGCGTTTAATGAGGTGTGAGAAATTCCAGCCACAACTTCCCCACTTCTGAACTCATTTCCTAATATAATCTTGAGCGAGTTCCAATGAGGTCTTGTTGCTTTATGAACATATCAGCATTTCAGAAGTGTGGCTGTGTGAGGGAGATTTTCTGGAAACGTAGTAAAACTCCTTTGGGGCGGGAGGGGGAGGCAGGGCAGGGGAGGTCAGCCGAGTGGCTAACAAATGCAGAGACCATCACCATGTATCCACCAGGTCCTGCCAACGACCCAGGCTGTGCTATATGGTCATCAGCGGTGCCCTGGAATACTGTGGACCCGACTGGCTCAGGAACCAGACTGCTGGGATCTCCACAGATTCTGGCTCGATTCCAACATTCTGTTGCCAAACATCTCACCAGTTCAGCTCCAAGGAGACCGACCCCACATACCTCCCACCCCAAGCAAGATAAACAATAACAACGTACATTTGTATAGTGCCTTTCATGTTGGGAGGACATCCCAAACTCGTTCAATGACCTGAGCAGCTACCATCTTAGGAACGGTATTGGAGATGTGGCTTCACTGGAACTGAATACTACAATCAGTTCTGGTGAGTTCATAGTTGGAATACTGCAGAGCCAGTGGCGGAGCTGGGCAATGTGGCAGAGGTGTGTCCAGTTGTGGTCAGTCCACAATTTCAGCAAGTTGCCCCACGTCTAAGACTGCAGAGCAATTTTTTTAAATTTAAAATATATTGATCTAACGATAGAGAGAAAAATCACTCAATGGAACACAATGGGAACCAACACCTACACACCCGGTCCGGCAATGTGAGGACGTTCATCTTCATTCATGTACAAAACGTTTGGCCCTCAAAAATACAGTCAAATCACTATACAGTATATTAATTCTGTGAAGCGCTTTGAGATGTTGCATCACCTGATAAGGCACAATATCAAATGCAAGGGTTACTTTTTATTATAAAACATAAAGTCCAGGCTGACGCTCCACATTGTCAGTTCAGCAGAGACCTGTCGGGGTTCAAATCTGCCCACGTTTCAGTCTTTGTGTAGTTCCTCACTAGACACTGTCTTTATCAACTAAGCCGGGGGGGAGGGGAGGGGACATAGGAGGGAGACCAGATGACGTAACTGTTAGAAAGGGTTACCATACGTCACTAGTTATATTTCGTCTCGGCCTGCCTTAGTTTAGCGCTCTCACCTCTAAGGCTGTGGGTTCAAGCCCCACATTGGAACTTTGTATTTATGAGTCTAGGCGTAGACTCCAATGTGGTGCTGGGGGTGCGCTGCATTGTCAGAGGTGCCCTCTTTTGGATGCAATGATAAACCGAGGTCCCGTCTGCCTGTTCAGATGGATGTTATAGCTCCCATGGCACTATTCAAAAAAAGAAAGGAGTTTCTCTCTCCCCCAGTATCCCGGCCAAATCAAATTGGTCACTCATTTCATGGCTGTGTGTGGGACGTTGCTGCGTTTAAATTGGCTGCCATGTTTCGCCCAGAAAATACATAGTCACTGCACAGTATATCCTGTGAAGCTTTGAGATGCTTTGATGACATGAAAGACGAGGATTATTTATGTTATTTATTATTTAGTGGCACTCCAGTGCAGCGTTTAGCCAACTACACTGAGCAGGCAGCGAGGTGGGCTCTGGAGCACAGACACACACACACAGCTGACAAAACAGGACTTTTGGGCCAAAACAAACATTTTCAAATTCCAATACTGAGCTGCGCAGCTGAATAGCTGCCCTTACACCGACTGACTGACTTAACTAACCCTTTGTGGACTGCAGCAAATTAATAATCCTTAAGTTTGTTAGAGTGCATTATCGCGCCGTAAACACCTCACAGACCATCACATTCTTTTCTATAAAAGTGTAGGTTAACAACAACTTACATTTATAGAGCGTCCCCTCATGCAGGGTATCCTTCCAGAGCACTTAAACCACACAGGGTGGTTCAACTGGTGGCCCACGGGCCACTTTCATCCACAGAGCGCACCCCCTCCCCCACCCCCTACCAACCTCCCATTTCATCTGGGCCCACCCGCTCACTCCATAAGCCATAAATGTTGTTACGTTTTTTGGAAGGGAAACACAAAAATATTGCTTATGCGGCCTGCGGAAGTTTCTCAAGTCGGGAATCTGGCCCTCAGCAGCCAAAAGGTTGGACCAAAAAGCAGCTTCTTTTCTGACTCTTGAGACAAGAGTGTTAACAGCCAGACTGATAGAAATGTTTTGTACCGAAATCCAGTAGACTAGACAATCTGTACTCCTGGCTAGGATTGTTACTCTATACCAGTACAAGGGAAGTGGTTCCGAGCCGTGCAGATCAGTAAGATCCCGGGCACAACTCAAAATCGATAAGAGTAGTTTCTCCCAGTGCATCGGTCAACAACCTCCCGGATAAAATTGGTGATTCACTTCCTAATGTTTGTGGGACACTACTGTGCGCAAATTGGCAGCTGTGTTCTTCTATGTATTAGTCTTGCAGCATAACCTGTGAAGCACTTTAAGATGATCTCCTGAAGTGAAATGTGCTATATCAAATGCAAGGATTGTTATTTATTGTGATGTTTTAGGGTTACGGCCTGGCCTAGGGCTGGTGTGTATGTATAAAGCAAGTGACTGGTCAAATTGGAGTTCGGCTGAGACAATATGTGTTTTCAGTGGAGTTTCTGATTAAACATGTTGTGCCATTTCGGTGTGTTTGTTCTGCCTCGTTATTTACACGGTATCGTCAATTGCAGAATATTTTTACTTTTTTTTAGTGGATTAAATGTAAGTAACATTACTGTAATAAATGAACAAAGGAACAAATGTAATTTGTCCAAAAAATATACAGTCAATTCACTTTACGATATATGCTGTGAAGATGTGATAAGGCGCTATATCAAATACAAGGATTATTATTATTATTTTAAATGAGGCCAATGGGTCATCAAGTTGAGTGTTCAGCTGACAATTGGAGAACGTGTGGATTAGAAAGACATTGAAAGTTTACAGCACAGGAGGACACTTGGCCATTGTACCAATGCATAGATTTACATTAAGTGATACAGTGCCCATTTGGCCCAACTAGTCTCTGGCAGTGCTTATACCCCACACTGCCCCAACTCTTCCTGATCCCTCTCCTATATCCCATTACTCCCTTTTCCCTCATGTCTGCAACACATTTTCTCTTAAATATATTGATGCTATTTGCTCCAACCACAGCTTACAGCAGCGAGTTCCATTCTCACCACCCCGTGAATGAAGAAGTTCCTCCTAGACTCCCTGTTAGAGCTGTTACTGACTGGCTTATATTTACACCCTCTAGGAATGGACTCACCAACAAGTGAAAACAGCCCATCAGTGGCCAACCTTATCGAATCCTTAAATCTTAAACGAAAAAGGTTTCACCTTTCACGTCAGGAGGACCATCTGAAGGCACTGGACAGATGGGAATTTGGACCCGAGCTGGGGGGTGTGGAGTGCGGAGGGGAGGGTGGCTGAGTGTGAGGGTGGCCGATTGCGAAGAAGAGCATCTTGAGATATACTTTGGAGGAGGCAAGAGAGGGACTGTGGGATGGTGCTCCAAAGGGTGGGAGCAGAGCGGCTGAAGGCCCAACCATCGATGGTAGGGAGGGCCGGGCGGGGGACGTGGAGCAGACCACACACAGCCTGCTGATTGGAAGGAGGGGACAGATTGATATATGGTTAGTCTTAAACATTTAACATCGTGCGGAATCTAAACTAAACTGCAGCTTTGTAACTGAAAGGACTGTAATATATATATATATATTATATATATATCAATATATATATATCAAACATGGGGAATAATTCTTAGAGTAATTTCACTCCGAATCCATTAGAATAAAAAGTTGCATAGCAGTAAAACCATTTTAAAGCTTTCCTCACCCGTCAGGTGAGGAAAGGAGACATTTTATTCTCTTAATGACCATTACCATCTCTTGTCCAGGTGGACATTAAGATCCTGTGGTGCTATTCATATCGAGAAAGGAGTTTCTCCCAGTGTCCTGGCCAATAGTCTATGTATTAATTAGCCATCCACCTTATGGCTGTTTGTGGGTCTTTGCTGTGCGCGAATGTCTGCCGTGTTCACCAACAAAAAAGAGTCACATGTAGCAATAATTACTGTGAAATGCTTTGGGAAGTCTCCATCTTAAGGGTGTTTTTCTTTCCATTGAGCTCAGATCCCTTCACCATTGTGTGACAACTAAGTATTCAAGGTACAGATTGTTGCGTGAGAGATAAGAGGTTTTATGAGACCATTATACTCATGGCATGAGCTTGGTTGCCAAGCGAAATATATTGGTAAGAGGATTGTAATGGGGGGGTTGTGGGATGGGGAGAGGAACGGGCAGTTGTCGACATCACCCATGATCCTTAGTTGGGTTGTGCGCAGTAACATTTTATTGATTGAATATTTCTTGATTGAATCCATAACTATCAGTATAACACACTTACCTTGACTCGTGCGTATGTCCAGGGGTCCGCTTCTTGATGGCCCCACAGACCTCTTCAGACCCACGGGCCACAGGTTGGCCATGACTGCCTTAGGACACAGAAGCACTAGAAAGGCCATTCAGCCCATTGTGCCTGTGCTGACTCTCGCAGAAGCTATCCATTCAGTCCCACCCCCATGTCGTTTCCTATTTTCCATTTTGATTTTCCTTTTCCAAATATTTATCGCCATTGGATACTGTCATGCATCATGGATGGCACTGTGGCCTATTTTGGATACGGGGATCTTTGACACAAAGGAGAGTCCAGTTGGCAGGTATTTGCCCAGCTGCAGGTGTAGAATATATTCAGGTTAGCAAATGTTCCACAAACACTTTGTCCACATGAGCTCTGGTGAAGAGGTCTGATTATTGACCCAGGGCAAATTTCATTGGGGTTTGCCAGTCTTCAGGCTTTCGGCAACAAATCAATGCCCATCTTTGTTTTTTGGCCAACCAGGTGTCTGACAAATACGGAAACCCGTCAACAAACTTAAGGGTATCCAAACCAATTATGTATGCCGCCTACTCACAGAGATTTCTCTGTCTTTGGAATCAAAAGCTCACTTTCTCCCTGGGACGCATCCTGCTTACAGAGCCAAGAGTGCGCGTGTGGTGAGGGGAAGGAACAACAACTGCTACAGTTTAACCAGGAACCACAGTTTGCCATTGAGAGCGCTGTCTGGGAATCTTCCTGTGCTTGTCCGGCCAGGAGCACCGTACCCATTAGGGTTTTGTCTTGCAGGGTTAACGGGAATCTGAGTAGGAAGAGTCCTTGTTATTACAATAAAGGCTTAAGCAAAAGTAAATGTTTATTCAGCAGTTAATCTGGAGAACAGAACAAAAGTCCTTAGATCATTGGTCGATTCCAGGCATTTAGTAAGTGAAGTAACTAACAGTTTACGATTGAAAAGGAACCGTCTACGATAATGACTGGGATCCCAAAACGACAGACAAGACACTGGACCTCTTAAGAACCAGTTCAATAGGAAGACCGCTTGTGGAGCATTGTACACAAATTGGCTGCCACGTTCATTCACCTATGAATACAATCGCCACACTTCACAGGAAACTCTTCGGATGGGGGAACAGAAGGGCCTAACGTTGTGACTCGCCTGCAGGAGATACTTACTGAGAAACCCATGACACCCTCAACCTAGTTGTTTTCATGGATTAAACGGTGCAAATAATTTCAACATCCAAAAATAAAGCTTATTACATTGTGACATGTCATGCAAGGAATATTAATTTGCTTTTGTTTTTCATTGCAAATGAGATCCATCCTTCTTATACCGATTGAAATATACACTAAAGCAGGAAAATAGCAAACCCTTACTCAAGGGGTCACTTACTCCCGAGTCCTGTAGCTTAGTGGTTAGAGCAGTTCCTCGCAATCGAGAGGACCTGGGCTTGATTCCTGAGCAGGGTAAAACGTTGGGCAAGTTTCCTTACTCCACACCTGTTTACAGAACAGTAAGTAGGAACCTGGTGGTTGGATCGCTTACTGGGGGTAATAATCCCTTCAAAAACTAAATAATAATTTGGTCACTCAATCCACGACTGTTTGAGGGACACTGCTGTGCACAATTGGCTGCTGCGTTTCGCCCACAGAATACAGTCAATTCACTTTACAGTATATTCTGTGAAGCGCTTTGAGACATAAGGCTCTATAGCAAATGCAAGGATTATTAAAATCCTAAATGTAAATGCAGTGTCCCTGGGTTCATGTTCTAAACATTCACATCGTCTGAAGCCAACATCAGAAAAGCCCCCCGTGGTGAAGAGTTAACACACATAGGAACTGCCAATCTGAAATGCTGTACAGCCTCACACGAGGGGCGCAGAATAAACAAAGTGTAGGCTACTAATCAGCATCCATGAACACAATGAACAATCATTTTTGTGCTCTCAACAAAACTGATGTGATTCTTGGCGTCATGTTGTTAAGCTTCAGTCCCACTGAAGCACCCTTTGCTGGATAAACAAGTAAGAATCACCGCCATTTGAAAAGGAAAGCGACAATTCAACAGCAGCGTTTCAAACTATCGATGGAATGGAAGGTCTTGCTCAATGACACTTGCAGCACTCTGTTCCAATGCGTTGCAAATCGTGAACCTTTAATTTTTTTTTACAATGTATTGTCCAATTTGACTGATTCACAATATATCTGAATATTTGAGAAATGAAAAATATAAATTATAAAACAAAATCATTCTCACTCACGTTTTAAAATCGGGATTAATTGTATTTACAATCATCAGAAAATCTACAAGACGAGGGGTTAGAAACGAGCCCCACATTGTGTCGATGAAACTCGTTTGACCCCAAGAGAAATTACATGAATCCAGTAAAGTAAAAGCAATGAACACAGACTTTAAGGACATCTTTAATTAAAATTTTTGCAAAGGCAAAATACTTTTAAGTAACTTAAAATAGATCTTAGTTCAACAAAATACTAAGCTCTCTAATTGTCTTACAAGCAATGGCCTTAAACCAAAGATGAGGATTGATTAAGAACCTTGATTTAAATGGTAAAAGATGAATTATACAAACATAATAAATAGATTTACCTCTCACACTTATGTACAACACTAATTAACTTTCATTTTGAGTAGCTGTGGACAGTAGAAAAGAGATCAGCTTAAATGCAGATCGTTTTTCAACTTACCGTGTGTACAGGTTGGGTTTTTTAATTTTGTTTGTTTTAAAAAAAAAGCAAAACTCGTAAATGGCTGGCTTTGTATTAGAACGTAATTTTAAAAGGCGCACTCTGCTCTCTCTTTTCCTCAAAATTCCTCCACTCCATGTGCAAACTTTGCTGCCCCATTTCCCCCTTTTTTTTAATATACTTTTGAGAATCATTTCGGTAATCGGATAATACTGTTCTGTTGAAAACACAGGTAAAAGTGATATCACGGTCATCATTAAAAAGGCATATATCTTCACTGTTCTACTAACTCTAAATTCTCTTAAGATTACAAAACCATATACAAAAACAAATGGGGGGAGGGAGGGAGGGAGGGAGGGAGAGAGGGAGGGAGGGAGGGAGGGAGGGAGAATTGATTAAAAAAAGGGAATGATGGTATCTATCAAAACTTAATGCAACAAACGGTCGGTCTGTTACAGTCCAAAGTAAAACCATGGATGAAAATTCAAGTAGAAACCAAAAGATTAAAACTGCACACTGATCTACAGTATAGTGTGATGTGCCACATAGTGAAACTGAGAAAGATGATAGCCGGGCTGCAAAAGGAACACTTGATACAGCACTAGATAAGAGCACAGTTTGGTATGTTCAGCCTTTGGAATTGGGCCGATTATCACAGGTATATAGTGCGAAAACGATCTTGAAGAAGAGTCCATCTCTCAACTATGTCGTATACCGTAATAAAATCACAGCGGGAAGGGGAGGGGAACCCTGGGGGAAGTGGGGCGGGAGGGGGGGGTGGGGGAAGGGGGTTATCAAACATCTAGCGCTATCATAGTGTTTGCAGTTCAAACTCATCTTATCCAGTTCTTTACCTTAAAAGGCATCAGTCATTGGTACAGACTCAGTACACATCTTGGTGCCCTGCAGTGAGAAGTTATTGAATCACTGCGCAAAGTGGTTCAAAGTTCCAGTTACAAGCTTCCCCCTATTAGGATTTTTTTTTTTTGATCTGTTTGTTTGTTTAAATCAGTTTATGTTTCACTTCAAATGACAGTGTTGAACACAGTGACCTGGTCCTCAAAAAGCCTTCCTCAGAAGAATCTTGTTCCAATTTTCAGTTTTTAAAACTCATTTAAAAATTTGCGAATGTTATTCGCCAGCAAGCGGTGACTATATTATGGTATGACAGATAGTTAAGCACAGTTTCCCCTCCCTCCCTCCCCACTCACTACTCTGTAAAAATGTGAAGCCATTTGTCTGGCAAGGCTTTTCCCGTGTAATGTAGTGTTGTTGTACATCTCAGTAGTGCGGGCTCCAGTAGTTCTGCATCTTTCACTTGCAGGCTTTGAACTTCAGCTGAAGTGCAAACAGTCCAGTCTGATGAGCCTGTCCGTTCTCAGAGGGGCAGAATTCTTACCACTCCGCATCGCCAATGGCTTTGGAAAACACAAAATCTCTCCCGTTCAGGTTCATGATTCCATCCTTGAGGTGAAATTTCCACTTATTCTTACTTCTGTGGATCTAAACACACAAAAGCCCTTTAAATACACGAAAACATGGACAGATATTTGTTGGGTCGGGGTATCAAAGGGTATGAGGGAACGGCGGGTAATTGGAGTTGAGGTACAGATCGACCATGATCTTATACAGGGTGACCAAAAAGTTGTGATACCATTAAGATGTCTAATTAGTCTTAAAGAAATTATGATATTTTTGTTTTGTTTTTAGATAATAGGGTAGATATCACGACGTTTTGGTCACCCTGTAGCATTGCGGGACAGGCTTGAAGGGCTGAATGGTCTACTCCTGTTTCTGTGTAACTGTGCGTGACTCAGGACTTTAAACATGGGAATCACTTGTTACTTTTAATAATAATAATAATCCTTGCATTTGGTATAGCGCTTTTCACGTCGGGAGGACGTCCCAAAGCGCTTCCAGAACACACTGCAAAGTGAATTGACTGTATATTTGTGGGCAAAATGCAGCAGCCAAATTTCGCACAGCAGTGTCCCCACAAACAGGCGTGGATTGAAGTGACCAATTTATTATTTTTGATCACTTTGGAAGCCAGCACAAAATTACAACAACTTGTGAGTATGTCCTTGTCATTACAAGGGATCATAAGATAACAATAATAGTCCTTGCATTTGATACAGCACTTTTCACGGTTTCCAGATGTCTCAAAGCGCTTCACAGAATAGACTGTAAGGTGAATTGACTGTATATTTGTGGGCGAAATGCAGCAGCCAAATTGCTCACAACAGTGTCCCCACAAACAGGCGTGGATTGAAATGACCAATTTTTTTTCTTCTTGAAGGATTATTATTAGGCGTGTGGAGTAAGGAAACTTGCCCAAGGTTTCGTCCTGCCGGGAATCAAACCCAGTTCTCTCGCTTGAGAGGCGAGTGCTCTAACCACTGAGCTACAGGACTCCACATATAGTCCAGATATAGTCTTACCTCTCGTCAACCTGCACTTTTATTAAACTCTCCAGAATTAGGGAAGTAGAGTGTGTCTTCGGGAGAGAGTGCGCACTTCATTCTAGTCAAAATAATGGACTCTAGACTCTACCATTTTCTTAGTACATTACCAAGCAGCATCTTAAGTGAGATCTCTGACCTGGGCTGAACCATCCTTCCTGTAAGCCAGGTCTAGCTCTGACCAGAACCTCCAATACTGCATGCTCTAAGTCTGCTCAATTAGTAGATAGATGTATAAAAGGCTTTCACATAGGATGAATGTCTCAAAGCATTTCACAAAGATGTTGGACAAACCCTGAGGGTGTTGACCAAAGTGAGGTCAAAAAAAGAGGATTTCGAAAATGTGGAGAGAGGGTTGAAGGCAATAGGATTTGGGTAAAGATTTCCAGAACAGGGACATACTGTATAAACAAAGCTGTCAGAACTTCAGAGGGACAAAACCCTGCTAATGCTGTTGAATTGTCTGCTGCTTTATCAAGTACACTTGAGCACAAGTCATGTTAGAAATATGCTGACTGACCACTTACTTCTCCCAAGAGAAATTGTACCAGCTTATATTAGAGGGAGCTTAACAGTGCAAATAAAAGCGTTTCCCTCAAGTGGAGTTCGGGATTCGGTTGAATAATCGGGGAGAAAAAGACGAAAGCTTTGCCCAATCACAATTTCCACGTTACCAGGTTAAGCTTCACCAACTCACAGCGAGAATTTCCACATTCTAAGTACCTGCTATTGTTTGTAAAGGGACATTCTGTGCACTGAGCACCTGTTGGGAGTCTCTGAGCTCTCAATAAAATTTTCCTTTGGAGCCCAGACTTTCTGAAAAATGTTACTTTGGTTTATTTTCATCCAGTGTAGATTTTCACTAACTGTTTGGAGATACAGTTAGTCTAAAGTGAGGTGGTCCAACTGCTCGGTTGCTGAGAGCCTGATAGTCTATTTGAGAAATGTCTGCGGGGTGCATAAGCAGATGTGGCCCGCAGTTGGAAACACCCTGGTCTAAAGTACTCAGTTACTGACTGATTAGAAAGCAACCATTGTATACAACTTAGTTGCAACTTGTTAAGTGTAAGATTTACTATCAAGTTCAATTTGTTTTTAAACACCCCAAGGCAGCAGATCAAGAGAATCTCGTAAGACAGACACAAGTCACGCTTTCTGGTGTCTTGTGTCTGTCTGTACATGGTCAAGAGTTATGAAGGGCACGTTTAGGACATTGCTTTACACATTGATGGCTAAACAGCAAGGCAAAGGTGGTAAGAAATGGTTAGTGCCTCAATACTCAAATTTGCAGGAGATTTGTCCTTGTGAGCTACTATTTTTCTCAAGAAGCAGTTTGGTGTTCTGATAGGAAAACGATAGGATTTGTATTTAGGAAGGATCGGATTATGGGGTCTTAAGAACAAAAGAATTTGCTAGATGCAAGAAGACCAAGGTGCATTTAATTCGCCTTCCACCATCCTGGCAGTTGCTTGACATGTCGTGTCCCAAACTATATGCTGCATCCCCAGATATTATTTTCTACCAGAAATCTATCTAATTTGTTCTCGACACAAACAACAATTTCTAGGGAACCTGTTCCATAAATTTACTGCTCGCTCACTGAAGGAAGTATTTCCTCATACTTAATTTTTCATCCAAACCACCTGTGCTCCCTTTTCATAAGATACTGGGAACAGGCTAAGAGGTGACGCTTCCCAAGCAAGTCTTTAACTCCAACATAACCAGGTGCCACCTGAGCTCCTTTCCTGCTCACTACACCCACCCCACTGCCTCAGTAATGTTTAAGAGTGAGATGAGGTCCCAGAGGATAATTCCACAACGATCAATTTGAAAGCGAGTAAACAGTTTAAGAACAGATTGAAAGCTATAAGCTTAAGTGAAGATTTAGCTAACGAAAACCACAACCACTAACATAATGATTTCTGTACGGCTAGTCATCGATAGGTCATCTGTAGATTGTAAACACTGTCACAGTTGAATGGCAGCAGTTGTTCAGCTGAATCAATATCCTGGAGTTTCACACATTCATTTAATCTTTGGAGCCAAGGAGAAATGTCATAGAATTTATCACAAAAGGCTTTGCTTTTGCTGATCGGCTCACTCAGAAAATTAAACAGATTATTTAGAGTCAATTATAGAACACACTGAACACAGCCTGTGGAAGCACGTTTGTCGTTAACACGGCTTCTAATAACATCTTCATAATTATATCTTTGAAATATTTTGTTTGAGGCATTCGTCCTTCGTGAAAGATGCTATACAAGAGCGAATACATCAGGCTCAAGTCCTTATAAAATTAAATTGGGACAAGTAAACAGAGATATTTCCACCTGTTCGGCCACGTAATAATACTTCTGTAGCTTTTCCTGTAATATTTGGAAATCAAGGCAATCTAGTCATGTACCAATTTAGACTGAATGTAAATTTGTTCAGTAAACGTCCAATTTTCCAGTCAGTTTACATTTTGTGGGTTGAAAAAAAAAGTTATTTAACAGGGAGCAAAACATCAGGCATTTAATGTGCAAAAGACTGCAACCACAAGCAGGTTTGGGAGCAAACCACAAATAAGCTTAGCTCCCCCACTGCAGTCACTGCTGATTAGAATCAAGCCCTGGCCAAACTGGAATACAACATTCCCTTCAAAAGCAAATACCCTACACATCAACAAAATAACTTTGCAGAAACCCACAGGGAGATAAGGTTTCATACTTCTGGATTCCAGAAAACCCGCAAATCAAGCTGATTTTAGAGATGTAAACTAACCCCTCTCAAGTTTTCAGAAGTATGATTAATGGGAACCGGAGAGTGTTTTCATTCATTTTATGTGGATCTCAGAATGGTTTGCTCCTATTATTAGCACACAGTGGGTGAAACCAGGCCCTATCATTACAAGATGAATCTTGGCCTGCCAGATGGGGCTGTTTGTTTTCCTTGGTGCATGTTTCTTATTTTAAGCTTTCCTGTGCAAATATAAAGCTAATAAATCAGCATAAATATAATAAATGAAACACGACAGTTACACAGAGACTCAATTGCTCAACGGTCAAATGGCAAGTACTACACCAGAAAAATAGGGTAATTGTGGAGTGAATATCTGTGTTGTACCATGCATTACTTGGACATGCGATAGCAGAAGCTGTGAAAATGTGGAATACCCTGCCCCAAAGACTAACATTAATTAGGATATTTAAAAGGGAAGTTAGGCTATTACGGGGTATGGAGAAAAGGGAAGTTCCCCTGATGTGATCCAGTTTAAAATGTCCTGTGTGTTCCTTTGTTCCACTCCAACCTGAATATGGAAAAGTACAAGAATCCCTGGCTCTTTACCTCTACGCTCTTTGCCACTACTAAACCAAGTTTAAGCTGCCTTTCCTGCTCTTTAGCCACTCTATCCTCTCTATCCTCGATGCCAGGTCTCCCTTCATGCCACGGACTTTTTAGGGTCAAAAGCCTCTTAGGTGGCATCTTATCAAATGCCTTCTGGAAATCCATACACACAACATCCCCTTAGAAACATAGAATATTGTAGCACAGGAGGCCATCTGGCCCTTCGTGCTGGTGCCGGCACTTTGGAAGAGCTGCCAAATCAGTCCCACTCCCCCGCTTTCCCCACACCCCTGCAAATTTTTCCAGTTTAATCTGTACACTTTCATTTTCACAAATGATTACCTTTTTGGGAGTAGCAATGGCAAATAAAGGAGGTAAATAAGGCTTGTGTATTTGGAGATTACAAAGTTTTTGCTCTTTCTTACCTTGTCGTACTGACAAACAACAACATTTTCCGTGTCAAACAGCTCTTGACCTTCTTCATCGCTCACATCATCCTCACTGTTCAATGACTCCTACGAGAGAATCAACCAGACACATTAATCTCAATCAACAATTTTTTTAATATAAAAAATCCCAAGGTCAGCAACAATTTTAGAAAGTCTACTAAAAAAGTTGTTTAAGAATGCAGTTTTGGGATATTTAACTCTAGATTGGTAACTATAAAGAAAGTCACACATAGGTTGGTGAGATGATTTGACAAAATGACAAAATTTGACAATATTCAAAATGAAAAAATGTTCTTGCTAAAGCACACGTAGCCGGGCAGATATAGTGTGGGTTACAGGGATGGTTCATTTTCCCTCTGCACTACTCCAGCCTCAGAATGCCACCTGCCACAATAAAGTGGCGAGCTGAGAGAGGAAGGAGCAAGGAGTGAACAGTATAAATAATAGAGGAGTCCTGTAGGTTAGCAGTTAGAGCATTCGCCTCGCAAGCGAGAGGACCTGTGTTTGATTCCCGGGCAGGACAAAACTTTGGGCAAGTTTCCTTACTCCACACACCTCTGTTTATCTGGCAGTAAGCAGGAACCTGGTTGTTAGTCGATTGGCGGATTGCTTTTCTGGGGGTAATAATCCCTTCAATTATAATAATTTGATCACTCAATCCATGCGTCTGTGGGATATTTCTGTGTGCAACTGTCTGCCACATTTCGCCCACTATAGTCAATTCATCTTACATTAGTGCTACGAAGTGCTTTGAGACGTCTCGAAGATGTGATAAGGGTCTATATAAATTACAAGGATTATTATTATTATTATTAATGATTTAGTGGGTAGTAGTTAGCACTAACAAATGAGGTATTTTACATTTTACAATACTGGGAGCCCCTTCGGCCCGAGATAAAGATGAATTCTATTCATCTCTGGTGTTGTTTTATATAAGTATAATTTTTGGGGGTCAGCCAGGTGTCTGACACATGCAGATCCTATCACTGCGCTTAACCAAACCAAGCTGAGATTTCCATGCTTCCAACCTACACATGGAAATTTCAGACAGATTGATGCTCTCTCTCTCTGGAGGGACACACCCTAATTCCGCTATTTTATATTGTTGTATATAGTATTTGGAAAAAAGTAGATTTGAGGGGGGGATATTCGGAGGGTTTGATTATTAGATCAGGTGTAAATGTTGATGTGCTGAATCACCTCTTCAACTTGCCCGCCTTCCCCAACTTCCTCCTTGTCTTTTTCCTCCTCCTCGTCATCGTACTCATCTTCTTCGTCATCCTCGTCTTCCTCCGAGGATGTGTCCCCAGCACCATCCACCTGCATCACCAGAGGCGGCTGCTGTTGCTGCTGTTGCTGCTGTTGCTGCGGTTGTTGTTGTTGTTGCTGGACAGGGGTTGAGCTGTTTGTCTGGGCCACCTGTGTTGAAGGGGTGGCTGCTGCTACAGTTGTTGTGGTTTGCATAACCTACAACAACAAATTAAATCAGTGGTAGATAGATGTTTGTATCTTGCCCCGTATCCCTTAATACCCTGACCAAATAAATTGTGTGGATTGTGCACATCAGCTCCTCTAACAGGAGTCAGTCACGCGGTAATTTTTGGGCAGCAGTAAACCACTGGTCCATTTCAGCTATCCAACCTCCCTCCACACATAGCATGACAGAATGGTTCACACAGGCCACTTGTTTTGTGACTGTGCTGCTCTTTAAGAACTATCCATTTGGAATCACTCCTCTGCGCTCCACCCACCCCCCCACCTCACACACAAACACGATTATATATTCCCTTTCAAAACCTATTATGGGATCTGCTTCAACCATGTCCTATGAAATAAGTAACTCTATGGGTAAAACAAATCTCCTTAACCTCCCTTTTGGTAAATGCCCTTAAATTTCTATCATCTGGTTAAATTAATCTCGGCACCTAATAACTTGGAATGTTTTTCAGTTCCGGGAGCTTATCTTGTGCCCTTTAGTTCAGCCATCATCTTTTTCAAACTTAAAAACATTTCCTAAACTTCCTGTTTCTTTCGGTTTCCCCCCCTGGGTCGGCTTGGTGGTCTGTCAAGCGTTCTGGGACCCGACCCTGCATGAGGAGCGCTATATAAATGCAAGTTGTTGTTGCCTTTTTATGAAGTTACGATGTACTTGAGTTGACACAACAAGCCACATACACATATGAGAGAGAGGAATAAATTCTCCAGAGGAATTACAAGTAGTTACAAGTGGGAGGACCAGGGTTAGATTCCCAAGGGGGAAAATCTTACGCAAGCTTCCTTACTCCACACGCTTCTGTTTACGTAGCTGTAAGTAGGAAGTTAGTCGATTGGTGGATCTTTTTTCAGGGGTAATAATCCCTCAAAAAAAATTGGTCACTCAATGCACAATTTTTGTGGAACACTGCTGTGCACAATTGGCTGCCGCATCTCACTCACCAAATACACAGTCAATCCACTTTACAACACACCCTGTGAAGTGCTTTGAGACTTCTCAACGACTTGATAAGGCACTATGTCGAATGCAAATATTATTAGTAGTTGGAAAAATGAAAACTTATTGTTAAAGAATGAAATACACTACAAATGGTAAGTTAAAGGCATGCTTCAGCCCTGGTGATCCAGGAGGCAAGCTTTAGAGTCCAACGCTAGGGAAATTCAACAGCTACTTCACACCTTACAGCCCTGCGTACCTGTGCATTCGAAGCAACTTTGTTTCCTGCCACAATGATCTGCTGGGGTTGGATGATGACTCCAGCCTGCTGAGAGATACTTCCAGGAGCCAGCGGAGTGAGCATCTATGGAGAAAAAAAAACATCTAGTCATAAAACAGATTTCCTGCACAGCATTTTAGATTTTGATCTTCATTACATTTATGCAGACTGTTTAAGTTGCTTAGTCTGCACACACTTGCTGTCAGTCATAGGAACATAGGATTCAAAATCCACGACATTGCCATGCGCAACTGGTTGCTGTGTTTCACCCACAAAATACATAGTCACTACACTTTACAATATATCCTGTTGTGAGGAGCCTGCATGTATTTTCAGCACATTCCCAGACCAGGAAACCTATTTCCATTTCAGGCTGAACTTTGCGCTCATCAGAATATAATTGCAACCATCGGCACTCACTGTCAGCTTTGAGGGTAAAGCTCTATGGTGTAACCACTACTTTGGAAGACGGCACAGCAATTTTCCACATCAAACATTGCCTTGGGGTCACGGAGGTTCCCACGGCTTGGAAATGGCGTGACTTTAAAAAAAAGTACCATCTCATTCAACACAGCTACAGGATAAGTTGGTGAGAAAAATGTAAACGTAATTTAATTTCTAGCACCAGGGTCTGGTTCAGCCCCTACGTTGCTTTCAGCATTGGAGCAATGGATGAACAAGGGAAATGGGATTTATTATTAAGATTTTCCACCCCCGAGCCCTTTTCCTGAGGCTTCTGTTCACGCTATGTTGGGAGTCAGTCAGGAGAATGTTCAAGCTGGTGCCTTAAATCTTCTTAAGCCACCCTCTGGCCCACAAGAGTTTCCAATACAATATATTTAATCAGAATTAATCTGCACCCGTATTTATACTCCAGCAGTGTGAACCCTGGCGCTAGTTCTTCCAGAACTTCAGCCATATCCTCTCCTGGTCTAGGCTCCGTATGCCCATTCTAGCCAAACTTCACCAGTTCTCTGTTCCTCAGCAGACTGGCTTCATAGAATCTTACAGCACAGAAGGAGGCCATTCGGCTCATCATCCCTGTGCTAGCTCTTTGAAAGAGCTATACAAATAGTTCCACTCTTCTTAACCCATAGCCCTGAAATGTTTTTCCTTTCCAAGTAACTATCCTTACCTCATCCAACCTCTGCAATCTTTCCCAGCCCCGCTCTCCCGCACAAACTCATTAAGGACCATAGCAAGCTTCCAGCCCCTCTTTGCAGAGCTCCCTCTTAAATTCCCTCCACCTCTCACCCTCTCCCAAAACCCTTTTAAAAAGCATCTCTCTCAAGCATCTTCCTCCATCCCCATCGTGCTCACTGATTCACGTAATCCTTGCAAAGTTCCTCAAGCAGTTTCCCTGCATGAAAGGCTGTATACAGTCAGCACACGTTTTAGCTGATGCTGAAACCACATCAAGGTTATACATTTGGTGCCCAGCATATACTTTTTTTATATAAGAGCAATTTAGTCGGATACTAGCGGTCCATAATCACAAAAAGGTAGTCATTAGTGTCAACTTGAGAATTACTTAAAAAAATGGTCACTCAATCCACGGCTGTTTGCACAATTGGCTGCAACGTTCACCCACAAAATATAGTTCATTCACTTTGCAGTATATTCTGTGAAGCACTTTGAGACGTCTCAAAGATGCTGTATCAAATACAAGTATTATTATTTATTATTATTATTACTACTACTATGGACTGGATTCAGACCTGGTCCCAGTGATAACACTATGTTAAACATAACCTGTTTCTAATCCACATAACAATGTGGCTTTTTTTTATTTTTAAAGGCTTGGACTTTCGGAGTGGCTTCAAAAGCATCCCAGTTTCCATTTACCTTGCAAATGTAAAGCTATTTAATCCATTAGCTTCAATAAAAGTATGCAACACTGAAGATTGGCTGCTTTTAGTGCAAGCTTTTAAGATAAAAATAACTGTTCTAAAAAAAAGTGTTGAATGTTTTGGATGAAACTTGAAGAGTTTTGAAATAAATCCTGGGAGGATTAAAGAAATGTATTCAATTTATTAGCTTTCCAAACACGCGTCCAGTTCTGATCAAAGGCATCTAAAGGGAGGCCACTCAAAGTGGGGGGGGTGGGGGGGATGGAACAAATCTCTCCATGAACTATACAAGGCACTGAACCACTGAACTGCTTTATCACAGTGAAGGGGTAGAAAACAGTACATTTCCAGGAAAAAATTAGGGGGAACAGAATACCATACATGCTCACACAGCTTGATCTGCTTCCGTGTTAATACAAACGTACTGAGGCTTTAAACTTAAAGACTGTGGTTTAGGTACCTGCTGTATGACGGGCGCCTGCACACTGGACTGCATCTGCTGAATGACCTGCGGCTGTGCCAGGACCACCTGCTGATGCGGCTGGAGGAAGTAGTGGGCTCCATTAGCGGCTCTTACAACTTGGAGCAACTGTCCTGAGGGAACAAAGGGAGATCGCACAGCTTTACATATACAACACAATAACAACTTGCATTTGTATACTGCCTTTCACATTGGGAGGACATCCCTGGGTGGATTTGCTCAACTGTTTAGCACCATTGGCCGTCGCATCCCCCCCGATGTCAATGAACAGACATTCTTCTCAGAGAAGGTTTTATAAGGTTAAGTGTTACGTTAAGTTAAATCAGTTACTTGTTCCGGGGGAGGGAGGGAATGTGAGCTGCTAATACTGGGGGAACATGGAGGGGAAGGGGGGTGAATGAGTGCCCCCGTTTGTGAACGGGGCTTAATTCTTCTGGGACCATCTCTTCAAACATTTAATTCTGCGAACTCATAGAAGCATATTTAAGAGGAGCACTAACAAGCTGAAGCTGCCTGAAATGGTCTTAGCTTTCTTCCTCAGATGTCTGGGTTTATGTCACAGTTCCAGCAGTTGTACTCCCTTGTTTTGTTGCTTTCCTCGTCATGTTTAAACGGGCCTTCGCTTTTACCTGTATTGGTGAGTAATTGTCCATTAGAGGTAATCTGGTACGGAGCCGAAACACCGGCCGGTAATGCCAAAGTTGCTGCAGAAGCGGCTGTACTCTGGGGAGAAAAAACAACAAGAATTTTACCTGAACGGAAAAAGCAAATGCAACAAAAATGAGCCCTGAACCCATCTTTCACTCATTCTTGGACAGTGCGTCTCAGTGTTAGTTAACAATACAGTGAAATTCTGATAACTAGCCCTTGGGAAAAGCAGTTAACCCCACACAACTAGTCACCCACTCAATATCCCAGCTATTTGACTACTTTGTACCTTCTAGATATTGTACTTCGGATATCTAGTCAATCCCATCAACCGAGGAACAGCAAATAATAATATTTGCATTTGATATAGTGCATTATAACGGCTTTGAGATGTCTCAAAGCACTTCAGAGAATATTCTGTAAAGTGAATCGACTGTATTTTGTGGGCGAAACGCGTCAGCCGATTGCTGCTACAAACAATCGTGAATTGAATGATCAAATTTTTTGGGGGGATTATTACCCTCGGAAAAGCGATCCGCCAATTGCTGGTTAGTCGATTGGTTAGTCTTACTCACTGCTAGGTAAACAGAGGCATGTGGAGTAAGGAAACTTGACCAATGTTTTGCCCCACCCAGGAATGGAACCCAGGTCCTCTCGCTTACGAGGCAAGTGAGGGAAGAGCGCAGTGAGGAAAAAAGGACTTTCAGTTAGTCTCAAGGGGTTAGGTGGCAAGTTCCGCTCCGCTGAAGCAAATGGGAAATCAGACCAGTTTCGTGCAGCATTAAGTCGATAGAATATTCATCAAAAACAGACTTTAGTGTATCTGCCCTCTTGTGGCTGTACTTGCAGATACACAGTGGAAAAGATTTCGGAAAAATTCAGATAGATCGTTGTCTGGTGGTAGCAACGCTAATATTAGCTCAAATTGCCCAGTTGGGTAAAATACATTGTATTAATACTGCGTAATAATAATCCTTGCATTTATTACCGACTTAATAATAATCCTTGCACTTTATCATGCCATTGAGACATCTCAAAGCATTTTGCAAAATATACTGTAAAGTGAATTGACTGTATATTTTGTGAGTGAAACGCAGCAGCCAATTGCACACAAAAGTGTCCCGCAAACAGTCGTGAATTGAGTGATTGAATTATTTATTTATTTTCTTATTTTTTAAAGAATTAGGAAAAGTGATCCACCAATCGACTGTTCCTACTTACTGCTAGGTAAACAAGAGTCATGTGGAGTAAGGAAACTTTCCTTATGAATTGAACCCAGGTCCTCTCGCTCTGCGAGGTGAGTGCTCTAACCAATATACTACAGGACTCCACATTGTATTAATACTGCCTTTATGGAAAGGGTCAATAATCCCTTCTCTCCTTTACGTTCTCCCTTCACCCATAAACATCAAAAACCAATTAAGTTACCCCAGTAAGTTTTTTTTTTTAAATGCTTCACTGTAATTCTTTTTAAAATAAAAATACTTTTAAATGCCAGAAAGATAAAAATAAAATAGTCTCTAACTGGAAGGATATTCAAAATCCCAATTTATATAGTGCAGAACCAGTGTATTTGATTCCCCTTGGTCGAGCTTTTATTTTTTTCTCTTCTGCTGTTACGATCTGGAATGCACTGCCTGAAAGGGTGCCTGGTGGAAACAGATTCAATAACAACTTTCAAAAGGGAATTGGATAGGTACTTGAGGAAATATTTGCAAGGATATGAGGGAGCGGGAATGGGCAGCTCTTCCAAAGAGCCAGCACAGGCATGATGGGCCGATCAAACTGCCTCCTTCTGTGCTGTAATATTCTATGGTTCTATGGAGTCCTGTAGCTCAGTGGATAAGAGCACTCGCCTCGCAAGCGAGAGAGCGAAATGTTGAGCATGTTTCCTTACTCCACACGCCTCTGTTTACCTAGCAGTAAGTAGGAACCCGGTTGTTAGTCAACTGGAGGATCGCTTTAATTCCTTCAAAAAAATGAAAAATAAATCAGTCACTTCAATCCACGACTGTTTGTGGGCAATTAATTGGCTGCCACGTTTTGCCCACAAAAATATACAGTCAATTCACTTTACAGTATATTCTGTGAAGCTCTTTGAGACGTCTTGAAGACGTGATAAGGCGCTATATTAAATGCAAGGAATATTTAATATAGAATAGATCCCTCGTCTTGGATGCTGGGTTTATGCATCCTGAAAGTAATGCATTTCTGGTGCCTCTTCATGTTGAAGCTTACGGTGCTTGACCAAACAGCATTACAGCCAAATTTGACATCTTGTATATGCACTAGACAGGGAAAAGGGGCAAGAACCCTGGCACTTCTGAAGCTTTCCCCTTACTACCAACAATAAAAACTTGCATTTATCGAACACCCTTCAGGCGGGGAAGCGTCCCAGAGTGCTTGACAGTGACAGAGTCTAACACCGAGCCAGGTGGAGAGGGAGGGGCAGATAAGTAAGGGTGTAGAGTAGGGGGTAAGCAAATCGGATAGGTAGAGAGATGCGAAAGCATGAAGGGATTTAAAATGAGTGAGAGGATCTTGAAGTCAATCCGTTCGGAGCCAGTGAAACCTAGCAAAGACTGGTGTGATGGTGGTACAGAGTTTTGTGCGTGAGAGTATCCGGGCGGCGGAGTTTTGAATTAGTTGAAGTGTGTGTACGGTGGAGCTCTTCTATCAATATCTGTGATACAGCAATGTGCAGATTTAAAATGAGTTCACTATCTAAAAGCGACGTCTATTACAGCTTTAGAATTCTTTGAATTAAAAGATAATTCTCCTTACCATGCCCGTTGGATTCATGTGTTGTATTATTTTTCCATCTTGCATAATAACCTGCGGACCTGTTTTCATAAGAGGAAAATAACGCGGTAACAGATACAATGTGAAAGATTATACTTTGTACTTGCATATAGAGACCATGGAATCAACATAGCCAACAGTTGCATTTCTCCAGGAGCTAACATTAGTGAACATTCGATTACAATGAAGGGTATAATTAAGCGAATCAAAGAACTTAAATTTTTATAGCGTCTTTAAATGTCAAAAAATCTCAAAACCCTTTACAGTAAGTATTGTCATATGTAGTGGCTGTTTTTATAGGCAAAGAAGGCAGTCATTTTAAACACAGCAAGGTCCCATAAACAGCCAACAACTGGCATTTATATAGCACCACTCATGCAGGGTAGCAACCCAGACCGTTCAACAATGGCAGAGCACAATGCCTAACCGGGGTAAAGTGACCGTAGGCATGGTCGAAGAGGAAGGTCTTCAGGCGGGATATGAAGATGGGGAAGGAACGGACAAGGCAGAGGGATAGAGTTTCAGAGTTTCGAAGCATAGTGGCTGAAAGCGCGGCCACGAATGGTGGAATGGAGGACACAAGGGACATGTAGGAGGCTGGAACCAGTCGACCCATGAGGTAAATACAGATTTCTGAAAGGTGTTTGTTGAGGGCACCTGAAAACTCACTTCTCTAAATGAATATAACCAATAAAATCAGACTGGATTATTATATGAGAGGAAGATAAGATCTCCAAAGATTATACTAAATTACCAGACAGCTTTATTGTCATCTGGTGGAGCAGCTCCTCTGACAAGGCAGCTCTCCCTAGCACTACTGCACTGAAGTGTCTGCCTCGATTGTGGGCTCGAGCCCCGATAAGGACACAAACCCACAACCTCACTTATAGAGGCATGAGCACTCCCAACTGAGTACGAGTAAAACCCGCCACGTAACATTTGCAATGTGCTGAATGCTTGCAAAGGCAAACAGTAGTAACAGAAAGAGAATGAAACAGACTTGTAGAGGCAGAGCGTACCTGAATTTGTGGGGATGGTGAGCACTTGCTGTGTCTGTGGTTGCTGTTGAGTCTGGTGATGGTGTTGGTGATGCTGTTGCTGCTGCTGTTGTTGCTGCTGTTGCTGCTGCTGTTGCTGCTGCTGCTGCTGTTGTTGCTGCGCCTGCATTAAAATCTGTTGCTCCTCTGAGTGGAAGCCATCTACAGCCTTCGACTGCATCAGCTTGTTCTCCCATAACTGGTATTCAAACAAAATAACAATAGCTTTCAAAAAACGCCAAGTTTTTTTTGTAACAGCACCAACGAAAGACAGGATTCTCACGACTTAACAATAAACATAATAATTAATAATCCTTGCATTTGATATAGTGCCTTATCATTTCGTTGAGACTTCTCAGAGCTTCGTGGGATATATCGTAAAGTGGAGTGACTGTGTATTTTGTGGGCGAAACACGGCAGCTAATTGCGCACAGCAGACTTGAAAGGATCATTTTGTGGAACTTCGCCAAAGTTTAATTCCTGCTGGAAAACAACAACCTCATTTACTGGGAGACAGGAAATGGAACAGGAATGGTTATGAATAAATCGTAACCATTCTAAAACTCTTAGCAGCCACCTCAACAGCACCACAGCAAGAGGCCCAGAACCAGCTCTGGTATGGGGTGTCTGAGCATCTAACTATAATAATCCTTCCATTTGTCCACTCCCTCTGCTTAGCAGGCTCTGGCCTACCCCACGTCCCCAGCCCGGCCCGCCCCACCACCAGCGGTCAGGCCTTCAGCCTTTCTGCCCCCATCCTATGGAACTCCGTCCCACATTCCCTTCACCTCTCTTCAAGGCGCGTCTCAAAATCCTCCTCTTCGACCAAGCCTTTGATTACCCTCCTATCCTCCCCGATCCCGACCTCCCACTCGGGTCCAAATCGCTGACTGTCCAGCACCTTTGGGACATCTTCCCAACATTAAAGGCGCTATACAAATGTAATTTTGTATTGTATTTGATATAGCGCCTTATCACGTCTTTGAGACGCCTCAAAGCGCTTCACAGAATACACTGTAAAGTGAATTGACTAAATATTTTGTGGGTGAACTATAGGATAATATTGTATTCTTGTGGGGAAACCAAACACTTTCATTTCTTGATCACTACAATTAATTTACAAACAAAATTAAATAACGTTTAGTATCATTTCTGGATTCAGTAAGCTGGAAAAATTCACCAATTTAGCTTCCACCTTCCACCCTTCCACATGTCCATCTTCCCTGACTTTACCATTTCCATCTCGGGGTATAGATTATCAACAGATATCTTTTACAAACCCACCAATTCCCACAGTCACCTGGACTACACCTCCTCCCAACCGGCCTCCTGTAAAGACTCCATTCCCTTTTCCCAGTTCCTCCGCCGCATCTGCTCTGACGATGCCACCTTTCACGCCAGAGCAGCTGAAACGTCTTCCTTTTTCTTTGACCGAGGATTCCCATCCACTGTGGTGGACAGGGCCCTCGAACATGTCCGCCCTATTTCCCGCAACTCTGCCCTCACACCCCTTCCCTCTCTCCCAGAACCGTGATAGGGTCCCCCTAGTCCTCACGTTTCACCCCACCAGTCTCAACATCCAACAAGTAATTCTCCGCCATTTCCAGCAACTCCAGCATGAAACAACCACTAAGCAAATCTTTCCCTCCCTCCCCTCTCAGCATTCCGAAGGGACTGTTCTCCCCATGACTCCCTGGTTCATTCCTCCATCACCACCAACAGTTGCTCTCCTCCCCCCGGCACCTTCCCATGCCAGCGCAGGAAATGCAATATCTGTCCTTTCACCTCCTGACATACCACTGACCAGTTTTCAAGTGAGACAGCGATTTACATGTACTACCACCAGTTCACTGCATCCACTGCTCACGATGTGGTCTCTTCTACATTGGGGCGACAAAACTCAGATTGGGTGACCGATCTGCCGAACACCTCCATTCTGCCTGAGAGCACAATCCTGAGCTTCCAGTTTCTTGCCACTCTCCCTGCCACTCACACCTCTCCATCCATGGTCTCCTACCCTGATCCAATGAACTACAGCGCAAGCTCAAGGAACAAAACCTCATTTATCTACTGGGGACCTTACAGCCCAATGGCCTTAATATTGAGTTCAAGAATTCAATAACAGCTCACCTTCCCCCTCCCCCTCTTCTGTGACCATTACCACATCATCTGGGTCCCAGGCACACCTTTTCTCACTGTGGTCTGCATATTTTGTTGCAATGTTTCCCCCCCTTTGTTTTGCATTATTAACACCTCTTTTCCCTTGTTTTGTTGCAATTCCCTCCCCACCCCCCATTGCATCATTAACACCTCTTTAACCCACCATGCCCTGTCCTCTACCCCATTATCTCCTTTGCCTTTCTTGCCCTGCCTCCCCTCTCATGACTCACTTTCCTTTCGCCATAGATGCTGCCTGACCTGCTGAGTTTTCCCAGCTCTCTCTGTTTTTGTTTCAGATTTCCAGCATCTGCAGTATTTTGTGTTTTATAATTATACAAGTCCTAACCATTTTACTGCTAAAACGAGTTCTGATTTTCTATGGCGCTTTTAAACTGAAACAAAAGATACCTGAATTATATGTTAGTGCTCCAGGTTGATGCTTAAAGCACTACGATACTTAAAATATCCATGGAAATGAAACTCATAATTGCAAGAAGGTAGCTGTGTGGCTGGGTAATGCACAATCTTTGTTAATTTATGCATTTTAATTTTGAAAGGGTGAAATTAAATTGCCTCCATGTCCCAATCTACCATATATTTCATTGGAATTGGAAGCTAAAGATAGACAATAATGTTAACATTTACAACAGAACGGAACATTTTATGAGAATTTTATTCGCTGCATCTGAAACATTTTTGCCCACAAAATACAGTCATCTCACTTTACAGTATGTTCTGTGAAGTGCTCTGAGACGTCTCAAAGACGTGATAAGGTGCTAAATCAAATGTAAGGATTATTATTATTAATGTATTGCAATAGCCTAGCATTACTGGAATAAGCCTGTTTGTTTCTGAGATACAGTTCAGCTTCTTGTCAGGGTGAGCAGTTGTATAATTCCCATTTTGGACCACTTTACTGAAGGATCATTTACAACGTAAAAGGATGACATGAAAAGGAATTGTACCGTTTTTAATTCCATAAGGACTTGTTCCTCCACTCCTTCGTCCAAGAAAAGCTCCCGTACATCGTTGATTACGTCTTCAATCACTGCTCGGTAAAGTTTAGGCTGTAGAAACATGGATCAAAATGGGTTAGAAACGGCTATGCACAACAAATTTCTCACACTTTCGAATCACTGATCATATGATGATGAGGGCTAACAATTTGTGAGTGTGTTATCTCTGGTGGTGTCAGCCCGACTCAAGTAAGTAGCACTCTCGCCTTTGAGTCAGGGTTTGTGGGTTCAAGCCCCACGTCAGGACTTTAGAGTTCACAGTTTAGGCTGATGCCCCATTGCAGTGTTGGGGGTTTGCTACATTGTCAGAGGAGTGGTCCTTCAGATGTGACAATAAACCGAGGTCCTATCTGCCGTTCAGGTGGACGTTAAAGATGCCATGGCAAAAAGACAAGGGAGTTTTCCTTTTCGTGTCCTGGTCAACAATCCCCCAAATAAAAAAATGGGCATCCACAGGAAAGTACAGCGATTTCATGATGGCTACTTTGTTCTTTCACCTCACAATGTCTTTCAGGTAAACCAGGTCCACGAGCAAAGATTTCAAAGGTGTATAATCTAACATAATCTAATGTTGCTAAACTGTATTCACTGCAGTATGTATTCATTCAATGAACCTATCAATTAGCAGATTGAATAACGGAAGCTACACAGATTTAAAATGCTGAATAAACTAATGCAGCTAAATCATTATCAATCACCGTGTTTGTTCATTCACTGAAATTGATCAATAGAAGATTTAATGAGGCGAGAAATGCGACATATAATCCCTTCACCGGCACAGATTCAAAACTGAAAAACAGTGGAAAAAAGTTTTGAGGATTTGAGGTTTTACTGTTTTTGCTTGAAACAACCAACATCCTCCCAGTCAGAAATTGTTCTTGGCCTTTAAGACCCCCAAAACACCAAATTTCTCTGCATATCACAATATGGGGAGGGGGGGGGGGGTTGCAGGCCGAGAGAGAAAATATATTTGCCTCCATTGTGTGCCAGAGACTTGTTGGGATTGCAGTGCGTGCCTGGCGCTCGGGTTACACACCGTGCAAATTTGAACACCATCCGAAGCAAGCAGTCAAAATTCACCCCTGGGTCACTTGACTGATCACATTAACACACAGATTGCTAACCTGTAGAAGAACACCCTGGGAACCTCAGCCCAGCCCGAATGTACTGTACAATTTAGTTCGGATTTCCACATCCACCATCATGCAGTAACAAGGAAAACATGACTAAGGTTATAAAACGCTGCTGTTTACTACAAAGTAGTGAAGGAATCGGTGACTTGCATTGATCTAGTCTACATGTCAGCATGTCAATAATGCGTTATAATGAGCTAAAAATAACTGCAACTGTGAGGGCAGTGAGATGACCCGCTCAAAGAGCCCTGCCAATAACACTTAAATTGGCTAATACAAGATACAGAAGATGGAAGTTGACTTGACTCACATTAACGCACAGATTGCTCCAGGGTGAAATCAGCAAACTACCAGACAACAAACCCTTCAACCCATTCCCTGCATTTTGCCAGAGGCCATAAATATTCTTTGAAGGCAAAATGTAGAACATTATTAGTTTTGATCAGAATTGAAGTGAAGGGTTTTGAGACATCCTCCTGACATGAAAGGCACTATTCCAAATATAAGACAGGTTTGAGATTTCTCTCTGGGAATGGGACTATTGAGGGTGGACCTGATAAGAGGTGATACAGTTATTATGAGACGATTTGATTAGGTGGACATTAATAGGCTGTGGGCAAATCAAAAACAAGGAGCATAAATAAGATAGACAGTAGCAGGTCGAAAAGAGTTTAGGAGGAACTTCTTTACACAGAGGATGGTGAGAATGCGGAACTCACTACCAGAAGCTATGGTTGAAGACAGCTACTCTGCGCAAGGGCGCTATATAAATGCAAGTTCTTGTTATAATACTAATCCTTGCATGTGATATAGCACCTTATCACGTCTTCGAGACGTCTCAAAGCGCTTCACAGAATATACTGCAAAGTGAATTGGCTGTATATTTTGTGGGTGAAACGCGGCAGCCAATTGTGCACAGCAGCGTCCCACAAACAGTCGTAGATTGAGTGACCACATTATTATATTTTTGAAGGGATTATTACCCCTAGAAAAGCGATCCACCAATTGACTGACAAGCTAACTACCAATTGTTGTGTTTAAGCAAGAGGAAACTAGATATTTACATGAGAGAAGGAAATAGAGGGGGTAGAGATGAGGCTCATGTGAACACATACATCAGTGCAAACTAGTTGGGCTAAAAGTAACTTTCTGTGTAAATGAAACTACACTACTTTTCAATTTAATTTAACACAAACATCGAGGGATTAGGTTGAACAGAAAACAGAATGTGATCCATCTATTATTGGTAGGCAAGTATTCTTTGAAACATTGTGGATCACACATATAGAAGGATACAATACATAACCAGTACAGTATGTCATGTCCTGTTCCCTCACAATCTGCAATCACTTAGATTCAATGGAGCAGGTAATTGCTTCATCATTGATTGCATTATGTTTTGAACAAGTTAATATTCAACTGAATTATTTCCTGCTCTTTCCACATTGCACAAATAAGAACATAAGAATTAGGAGCAGGAGTAGGCCATTCAGCCTCTCGGGGCTGCCCCGCCATTCGATACCATCATGGCTGATCTTCTGACCTAACTCTGATTACCTGCCCTATCCCCATATCCACTAATCCCTCTATTTTTTTAAAAATCTATCAGTCTCAGCCTTGAAGATGTCCAAGGACTGAGCATCTACAGCCTTCTGGAGTAGCGAATGAATTCACTACCCTCTGAGTGAAGAAATGTTTCCTCAACTCTGTTCTAAAAGGCTGACCCTTAATTTTAAGACTGTGACCCCTGGTTATAGATTCTCCTACCAGGGGAAACAGACCCTCAGTGTCTACTTTATCAGCCCTTTAAGAATCTTATATGATTCAATAAGATCTCCCCTAATTCTTCTGTACTCTAGAGAATACAGCCCTGGTTTATTTAGCCTCTCCTCATAGGTCAGTCCCCTCATCCCAGGAACTAACCGAGTGAATCTACACTACACCTCGAGGGCAAGTATAGCCTTTTTTAAATAAGGAAACCAAAACTGCACACAATACTCTCGGTGCGGTCTCACCAAAGCCCTATACAGGTGCAGCAAGACTTCCCTACTCTTATATTCTAAACCTTTTGCAATGAACGCTAACATGCCGTTCGCCTTCTTAGTTGCTGCTGCACCTGCAAACTAACTTTTTGAGACTGGTGTACAAGGACACCAAAATCCCTCTGAACACTAACACTATCTAATCTCTCCCCCTCTAGAAAATAATCTGTTTTTCTATTTCTGATACCCAGGTGAATAACTTCACACTTCCCCACATTAAATTTCATCTACCACCTACTCGCCCGCTCCCCTCGCCTATCAATATCCTGTTGCAATCTTTTTGCATCATCCTCAGAGCTCACTCTCCCACCGAGTTTAGTGTCATCCGCGAATTCAGATACGTTACATTCGCCTCGTCTAGATCATTGATATAAATTGTAAATGGCTGAGGCCCGAGCACTGATCCTTGTGGCACTCCACTAGTCACAACTCGAGAATGTCGAGAATTCCCAATTCTAGAAAGTCCCGTTTATCCCTACTCTCTGTTTTCTACCCGTTAGCACTCTTCAATCCATGCTAATATATTCCCATTAATCATGTGGGCCTTAACCTTGTGCAATAGCCTTTTTTTTGTGTGGCACTTTGTCAAACTGGTCTATAGGTCCCCATCTTTTCTCTCCCACCCTTCTTAACTAGCGGTGTTACATTTGCAATCTTCCAATCAATGGAAACCATTCCGGAATCCAGAGAATTTTGGAAGATCAAAGACAAGCCATCCACTATCTCAATTTTCCCTCATATTCCATCTTCTCCCTCTTATCACNTTTTTGGTTTTCCTTTGTTGATCACTAAAGTTCTCCCAATCCTCGGGTTTACTACTCATCTTAGCTGTTTTATAGGCTTCTTCCTTTAACTTTATACTTTCCCTAACTGCTCTAGTTAGCCACGGTTGGGCCACCTTTCCCGTGGCATTCTTATTCCTCAAAGGAATACGTGCTCGCTGGGAATTTTGCACTATCTCCTTAAACATCTGCCATTGCTGGTCTACTGTTAAATCCTTAAGTCTAATTTCCCAGTTTATTTTAGCTAAATCCTCTCTCAAAGTTAAATATCCGTCTATTCCTCCCGATAATAAAAGTAATCCAGCTTAGAATTTACAATTAAACTGTCTAAAGATTCGTCACAACATCAATCGGTTTGTTTGATAAATCACCATCAGTATTTAACATTTTAAATTTAAACCACTTTCGGCTTTTTTTTAAAAAAGGTAGCTCAAATAAAACTGCTACGCAGCAGGCAAATTGGTGGATTGAGCGCAAACTGGATACACCTGTGATGTCTAGGGGTTTTCTTTCCCACCACGAAGTTAGTTTGACACATTTCAAACCAGTTGCTAACTTTTGTTTCCAGCCCGTAAATGTCACCGTCTCAAAGCACTTCACAGGAAATTCTGCCAAATGCAGCGACTCTCTTTTATATATAGGCAAATGCAGCTGCCATTTTGGCCACAGCAAAGTGCTCCAAACCATAAAACAGCTCTTACAGTAAAACTCACATAAGTCTGATCTCTATAAATCGTATAATTGTCCAAGTCGTACATCTGCCCAAGTCCGATTCAAGAGTTTATATTCTATGCAAGTTTGATATAGCTCATACTTTGCATAAGTCATATGAAATGTATGGTCCCAACTGATAAGACTTGTGTGAGTAACTTCACACAAAGGATTTTCAAAGCGCTTGGGCACCCAATGCAAAAGCTGGCCATAGAGGGATGCAATCCTCGAAGAAAGTTGAGCATGTGCATATGTATGGTTGCTAATAACACAATCTAGTCATTCTGAGCAGCTCTTAGCAACTAACTTTGCACAACGGGATGTTCTTGATTCCCTGAATGTCAGTCGTGCAACAGCAAGTCTTACACAGCACATGTATAGCA